TCTATTAAAGGCATTTTGGAGTTTGATGAGTCTTTGGTGCTCATTGTGTGGTGATATGAGGGGAGAGGTTGTAAGTTGTGAGATCAAGCAGCGCAGCAACGTGGGGCAGCGATCGACTGGGGTGAGTAAGAGGTTGTCGCTTAGTATTGAGGACTACCTAGATAGAAGGGTTCAGTGAAGATTCTCTATAAATGAAGATATTTGTTGATATATACCAAAATGAAATGGTTCCGCATCGGAGATATTACATACCATGATTTCTCAACCCTCTCTGTAACATCAACCCTAAGCCTTGGCCATCTCTAGCCTCATCGTCCTTGCCTTGGCCGGACGAAGCACTATCACCAGTAGCACCAGGGGCAGGGGAGCCATCCTGACCACCTTAGCTACGATGCCAGCTGTGGCGGGCGGATTGCGAACGCGCCTGGCCAAGCGGCTCCCTCTTCTTCTGCGGTGGAACAGGGTCGACGTTGTCTTGGGGGGGACCTTGAGGAGAAGGCGGCAGAAGACAGAAGAGGTCATTCTGGTCACTCAGTTAGACCTCGTCACCGAAGATGGGAAAAGGTTCAACATACAGCCAAAAACTAACATTGTTCGGTTCTCATCAATAATTATGAACATACAACAAATCTGTGATTATCTCGGCATTTTGTTCACTAACTATTTTGTGTAATTGAGAGTCTAGTGGATCTCGGGCACTGGCCCATATCAAGCCTGAAAGGCGCCACCTGGATTCTGATCGACAAGAATCTTCGTGTCCTCAACATCAGTTGGCTGACGGGGATAGCCGTACGTGAATGGTGGAGGGAGGTGCTGGTCTCCCATGACCTCGCTGCATGGCCCGATGGGAAGTTGTCGGGTACTTGATATATATTAGTAGTTGTCGAGATCGTTCATAATCCTTGTCGACGTTCCAATCTTGGCTGTCTGAGTTAACTAGCATTGACGTCAAGAGGATGCCATCACCGTAAGCCTTACGAAGTTTGACCACGACCAGTTAGAATCTCATTCAGGTCTTGACACCAAGATGATCCAAGCTCGGTATCAACGTCACCGGTAGAAAGGCCCGATACTGGGCAGACGTGGCTCGTTTGCCAAGGATAAAACCTCTTCACCAGTTTGAGCCTCCGAAGGCAGGCAGCCGGTTTCGACAAACTCCAACACCCGCTCAAAACGTTGCCTTAAGCGGGCAAGGGTTGCGAAATTCTCGCAGTTGCCGGCGTCGATGAAAGCGTGCCGATATCCTTCAAAAGGATACACCTGGTTCTACCTCACGGTTGGGGCTCTCCTTGCTGGTCAAGAGTCGATACATGGTTCAGGATTGAGTTCGAGAAAGAAAGAACTGTGAAGAATCCATTTCCTCTACAATTTCGTGAAGTCTGAATATTTGTAGAATCATGTTGATTGTGATGCCTTCGTTGTTCTGCATTGTCTCGAGGTATATAAGGGTATCCTTATGTCAACGGTGGTAGAGTGCGGGACTAGCTTGGAAGCTCGCACTGCAAGACCAAGCGCTGAGCCAGCGGGAGATATACCGGATGGTTTCTCATTGTTGCTGTCTTGCTTGTTCGGCTGTATATAGAACAGGGTAGCTGCGCACAAACTGGCTCTGGCGGTTCCCCTTGCCGTCGTCGAAGCAAGTAACAACCTGGTGTGACTGGTCGACGCAGACGACAGCCCAAAGGTCTTGACCCAACTTCGCTAGTTCTCCCTTGTGGAGAGATGCTCCTTCACCTCGATCCAGTGATGGTGCGGCTTTTCGGTCGGCTCGACATCCTACTCTGAGCGAATTATCCAGACTCTAGCGACAAATCCAGGCTTGGTTGGTCCATGAAAGTGACTACACCGCTGGCCAAAATGCTTCCAACATGGTTGGATCCCCATGGTGTATACTGATATAATGTTCTAGATAGGATGAGGAAACACCATCTCTTGTAGGCGCCTCATATCAACTCGACAAGTAGTATGAGCTTTACCACCAACCGACAGAACAATACCAAAGAACTCCCTTAGGGGGCCAGGGAGGTCTGGCGTCCTCTTAAACTCGGTCATAACATGTGCACATATAATGTAAAGTGCCAACTGAATCAAGGACTCGCCCATTGCTGCTAAAATATGTCGATGCTGCGTTCAACGCACACGTCCTCGGGTGCGTTGAACAAGATAGACCTAGATGAAAGTTGGCAAAGGTCTTGTATAGCTCGTGGATCTTCAAATTAATGAAGATAAACTGGAGCGTAGATACACGTTGCCCATAACTGGCCGTGGAAATGGAAAGGCCGATAGTAATGCCAGCTCGACCCTATCAATCCCAGCTTCTGTAAGCCAATCATGTGCGTGCAAAGCTTTCTTGGGATCTGTATGGATATCGATCCAATGTTGCTGAGACTGTTGTAGCTATTGTTTCCAAACAGTTGAGGCCCTAGGATCTGACCGTACAGCTTCGTCGAACGTCTTATTGGGGGTTGGTACCATGCTCAAGAAGCCAGTTGGCGGCTTCGGCCTGGCGAGAGGAGATCGCTTGGCGCAGAGGGCGCCATCCCATTATCAAAAAGAGTCTTTGTCCATAACTATAGGTGAGGTCTGAGTTCAGCGGCCAATGATAGTCTACATCAGCCCCGAGTTCAAGAGGCTTCTCATGCCTAATTTGATGGTCTTTATAATATAGAGTTGCCTCAAGGAAATCTCGGTAGCTCTCTTTCCTTTCTCCCAAAAACGAGCTCCAGTCTCCTTTTAGTGAGAAGAAGTGTAGGGTTTTGGAATCGCTGCAAATCGGTGTAACCCTGGATGAAGTTACCCCACAGGCCGATGCTGGGTCAAGAGTATTCGAACCATGGAAATCTTTAAGACTTGCTTGTGTTTTGACTCATCAAGCTCTTTAATCGGGCCCTGTGAGAACCGGGCTGTCCCAACAAAGTTACACGTCTTGTCCGGCGCGAAGTCGTCGAAACCTGGAGCACCAACTCTAAGATATCTTGCTCATTTTCCAAGTTGACCCGACCATCGCTTCAAAGAGCTGCCAGTTGATCGGCAGACACCGTGAGTAGAAGCCTCTGCTTCCGATAGAAGGTAAACTTCTGAGGCAGAGATTGCAACAGCTCTATGCTGGGCTGAGCGTTCTGCATGCATTGCAGATAAACTGCAATCCCTCACGGATATTGACATTGGCATGCTCGTAGAGCTAAGCACTTAGTTCTGGAGAGTGGGAGATAGAGCTTGGAAGCGCGGTAGTGAGATTTGATTGTGGTTTGTATGCTTGACGATGATAATTTTTCCCGAGAAGTCTGGTGCAAAAGGAAAAAGACGAGGGGCCGGATGGATTGCCGCCAATGTCTTCACCCCCGTATAGCTACTATCCTCCTTCTTAGAGGTGATAGAATCTGGCCGGTTTGGGTTCCACTGTGGTAGGTAGTTTCGAAGACGACGATCTCTCGAACCTCATCCTCCATTCAGGGTTCCAGGTTGATCTCAGCAGAGAGCTGTGGTGCCAATTTGGACACAGCTAGTCTCTCTATGTTATCATGGTGGGAGTCCTTATCTTAAGGAAACGCTATGTGACCTGGTGTTTCTGGCCAATATGGATTAGCCATCTATAACATTGCAAGTTAACCTTCATGCCAAGGTGCCATGAGAATGAATATGCCTATGTGACATGCCGGAAGTGAAGGCATCGTAGTAGCTAAGGAAAGCAGCCCCGGGCGTTTCGATGCTAACGGCCCATTCCACCGTCAGAATCCCGAACACCGCGGTGTACTATATTGACGCCGCTGAACACGGCGCTTTTCTCGACCAATAGATCTCTTCCACTTGAGGCAGTCTCTCTCCCATCGCCATGATCGCTACGGCTACAAAAGTGTTAAGTTCGACTTGCATGGCGCTAGCCGTCCTTGACTGTCCTGTGAAGAGCGACATGCTCGGTTTTCGATAGACCTTGGACAGAGAGAGAGACAAATACCGCCGGGCAACTTTTTCTTGGTAGCCATAAGGAGAGAGACCGTTTGAGGACTCTAAATATTCTAGGGGTGACATCTCCTCTTTAAAGACAATCTATAAGTAGAGAGGTATATATCTCAAGGGATCAAAAAGGTTAAATTTAATACCCCCTACAAGGAGAAATTTTGCCATACTTCTATCTCTATTGCTGATTGCCTTATGCAGAGCGTTAAGCCTTGTTCCAGTATAGGTCATTCGATCAGCTCCAGCCTTGATGAGAGACTCTGCGATGTCGATTTTGTACTGATCATTGGCAGCATATGGTGGTTTCCCCACCGTCCTTCAACCAGATGACGTGAGTATCGAGACGCCTTTTGGTTCTGCTGGGATCTACCGAAACCTTGGGACACAATGTGATGACTTTGTGCTATACCTTTGCGTGGATGATGTATGAAAGGGATAGGGTTTGTCGTTGATTAAGAAATATGATGAACCAGTGTCGTCCTGTTCGCCCTCTATTATAATCTGGACTGGTATGTCCTTATGTTGCAGCACGGCCAGCTCCTTATGCCAACGAGATGTCGCATTTACCTGCGCCATCCCTGTTTGAACAGGTCCAGTGTGAGCATGAGGTGGCAGAGTATAGGTGATAGAGTAGAAGATCTCCCGTATGGCTGTATCCTAGGTCATTGGGACCGCGGAGAATAATGAGGAACAGGCCCTTGGTGCAGCGTGCAGCGTCGTGTAGCCAAGACACGGAAATATGTCTTGTCTGTGCGGGGATGGTTAGTTTATATCGCGCAATATTTCCACCCGCATTTTCGTATGTGACCTTTTGTCTGCCTCGAGGCTACTGTACTTCCCACCACGGCCTTAATCTTACTATTCAGCCCAACGGAGTGGCCGTAAAAACCAGAGCCGTTCCAGCCCAGACCCCGACATGTACCTCCACCAGCATCGCGGATCGATATCTCTCAGCTGTAGAGAAGGGGAAAAGAAAAACAATGCTGCGAAGGAGGTCTCCAGGTAAAATTGCTCGATTCAACCCATATCAAGTAAGCCTAGAGGGCTGCAGCTGCTTCATTATCTTTACCTCCTTTGGTCGTGAGCTTTCGTGCTAGAATGCCAATCTTATTTGGAGGGATACCCCTGGGTCCCGTGGCTCGGATTTTCTTAGTTATAAGTCTAAATATCTAGATGGTGAATATCTGAGGGTGTAAAACGTAGCCTCGAAGTGCGTTATATATTGCGTCTCAAGTTATTGCTGAAGTTGTATCAGCACTGTGTTATATTGGGATAGATGATGTTTTATTTACTTTTAGTATAGGGAGGGTCTCACTGTTGACGGCATGAGCTGGTATATAGACGCCCATAGGTTTCCCGTTAGATCCGCCTTCGTTCCTCTGAAGGCGATTGTGTGATAAAAGGGTCGAGAATATGCATTTCGTATCAGCTGTGACGAGAGAATGAGGCCTCCCATCTCGGAAGGCATCTCCAGCCTTCCGATCTGGAGGTGGACTTCGCCGGGGAGGTCAAGAAAGTTGAGAGATGGCATTGCGGTCGTTTTAATGATCTAAGCTGCCTTAGTAAGAGCTCAACGCTTCGTGCAGGAAGAGACGTCTGCACTTGGCAAAGGCGTTAGACTTACTGTCGGCTGACCCTAGATCATGTTCAACGCCGAGCAAATGTTTGCGCTGGTTCATATCTCCAGTAATAAGGTAGCCTTTTTGGATTATAGATGGTGACCAGAGGAGCGATCTCCCAATCAATTCATGGCCGTGTTGTCGCATGTAATAAAAAGGGGGTTGAAATAAGGCCCGTATGAGAGCATTTCCGGCTGCAGTTGACGTTGAGCATACGACTCCTGTGAGGGTTTGTAGATAGAGTATGCATCCTGATTTTCTCTCTCAGGCTTGATACCCATACCTGCTGGAAAGTTCTCGAAGGTGAGCAACTTAAGGTATATCTAGATGATAAGAAGAAGTAAGTAAAAGAAAGAGAGACACCTGAAAACAGACTTACACAGGGCAAAGTATGCTCAGGATGAGAACCTTTTTACAGTGTCTGACTGAGGCTTGCAGCTCACACGATACTAACGAATGAGGCACGTTAAGACGGAGATCAGTCAGAACAGACGCAGGGATTTTGGCAAAGATGTAGACTGCAAGCTGCCGAACATGATGTTCGACAGCGTCTACACCCCTACCAGTCCCCAGGACTCTAGGCTAATGGTCCCCAAGGATTGCTCTCAGGAACCTCAACCCATTGGGCCATTGGGTGAGCTTAAACCGGCTTATTGTGGGGTGTCTATACAAATATATCAGCGCCTACTTCTAAAGTGAAATCATCATCAAGACTCACCGTTGTCACTAGGATCTGTGCCCTTGCTGTCGCCAGCTGCTCTGAGCAAGCTCAGTATAGGGTCCTAAAGTGAAACGCATGCCTGTCCAAATCCCAGCCGTTCGAGGTATTCAAGCCTCGACAAGTCCTCGACGAGTATACTGACGAAGAACTATAAACGTATATAATATCAGGGGAGAAGCTACTGAAAGCTGTATAGGAACGCCTTATCATTGAGGGACTGATCTGTGTCTCAACCCTCGTCGAAGGCTCACTCCTTGAGTAGACAGATTGTCGATGTCTATATAACAGTGATCAATGCTATTAAAGGGTCAGTACAAGCTCCCATTTTGAGGCCCTTTCGGGAGTAAAGCTGACTTCTCAGATGTAGTTGGAAGTATGGGAGATACGCAATAGGAAAGTACCTCGAGCTTGTCTGCCAGTCTTCGACATCGCTTTGATTCTCTTGTCGAGGGGGGTTCGGGCAAATTCTGCATTCTTCGCAGCCAGGAAGTAGTGAACTTCTGTACGTATAAGGCAAAGATCACATCTCAACACATGTGGGCAACATACTAGCCAAGTCATTATGCTTGGGGAAAAGCCCATCGAGATTCGTGGGAGAGTTCTTATGTTGCTGAGGAAGTCTGCGATCGTACACAGTGAGTCGTGAATGTGTATCGGTTGGTGTATGCTACTAATACCACCGATGGATTCCCAATGTGGTCTGATGTTCAGTGCCCTCATAAAGCAGTGAAAAATCTAGATGAGAACCAGTATCACAGGTTAACGAATAGAAGGAGGCAGTACTCACATATATATCCTTGGCCCCGGGCTTGATGTTGTCCGCCATGCTTTCTGATGGTGATAGACGGTTGAGGGTTTTGCTGATTGTGGGATAGATGGCGAGATGTCGTGGTGTGGAGTGTGGTACTGTGGGTGTATATATCTCTAAATATATATATATATATATATATATAGGCCATTGGTGTTGAACTTCTTATTGGAGATGAAGAACTTTCACAGTCGTCCCATTCTTGGATGGTGCTGTAGGAACAAGCGGATGGATGAGAGAATGAAAGAAGAAGAAGTCCAGGAAGGAAAGAAGAAGGTGGTATTTATACCCAGAATCATAAGCTCTGGGAGAATTCACGCTGGACAAAATCTTTGCTAATCGCGGCCTAGTTTGCATATCATCGACGACCAGGCGTCAGTTTGACCACTGTTTGCCAAGCGGAACAAATCACCAAACAACCCCTTTTAGCACAAAAGTTTCTAGTTTTTCTGCAGCACCAAATGAAATGCAAAAAGTGATTGCGGTATTCCAAGAAGGAATGCTGAGCTGTTGAGTAAACTCAGCTCATTTCAAACGCCAAGCACAACGTTAAGTGATTATAGCAACAACTCATCGGCAAAGGATAAGCAAAGGCCCCAGTTGGAAGACAATAAACAAGGCCGGAACTCGAAACGATAAGCTACTATGTCATAAGATTGTTGAAATCTGTGAAATCACTGAGCAGATTTGTGTTTATAAAGAGAAAAATGAGACAGATTGGAAAAGGGGTAAACTTTAAGGGCGGGATCTCCAGCAAGTTTGTCGAGTGGTATACCAATGGCTCTCTAAATTTGTCGCAAGATTGCCTAAATTTATCCTAAAGTTGTCTAAGTTCTTCTTTATCCTTCCTAAGGCAGGCAGCGAGGCATTTTGAAAGCTCCTTATGACTAACTCACCAACAAACTTACGAGCATCCATAACATTGAACCAAATAAGAGGATTTTGCTTAAATCTCGATTGTATAATTGCCAAAGCCTCATGAAAACAAGACAAAGACCAAATAAGAGCCCAAACACCTTTAGACACCGTGCATCTCGCCATCACCTCATTTCATAACATTCACTCAGCACTCTGCCCATCCATAACACCTCCAGAGAACCACTCCGCCAACGTACTAAACCGATCCTCGCTGTTCTCCAGATCCATCTTGAAAAGCTCATGCTTGCCAGCCCTCTTCTTCTGTTCCTCGCGCATTTTGCGGATGATGTCGTTCTCCGTTGCGCACTTGGGACACTCCGCATCGCCGTCGTTGCCGCCGTTTCGAACGCAACGTTGGTGGAAGCTGTGTTTGCAGAGGAAGTGGACGGCTGGTAGGTCAAGTCGCTGGCTGCAGTCTGAGCACCAAGTTGCTTGGAAAACGGCGGGTTTGGAGCCCAAATCCGCAAGCTCAAAGCGGCGCTTTTCTGTATCGCCGCGAAGATTGTTGATGCGGTTTCTGTTGGTAGCAATTTCTTTGCGCTCTCTTGTGATTGTCTCGTGAAGGTATGGTTTGATCATGCCCATGGTAGCTACGCCACCGCCTGAAGATTGACCAACAAGTGTTTGGATAACCTGCAAAGGAGCCATGAGACCATCTTTGTCGATTTTGTTTAGCACGTTGGCCAACTCATCAGGTCCGGCTTCCTCCAGTACCCTTTGGTCAGAAGTGAGATACGCCAGCGCAGCTGGATACAACTGCGGTTCCTCAGGGCCATACTTTCTGAGTGCCTTCAGGGCGCCTCGTGTATCCTTAGCTGATGTGTAAGATCTGAAAATGTCGAAACGCAGTCCTGCCTGTTCCTTGACAAGGATAGTTCCATCTTGGAAATCTGCAAGATGCGAGAGAAGTAAAACATTCGAGCTTTCCATAGGCACGTGCTCACCCTGGATGAGCTTCTTTGCCTTGGCCTCCCATTCCTCCTTGTGATGCTGTCCCTTCTTCTCGCTAGCCTTGTACAAGTACATCTCAAAGAGGGTCGTGTATAGATCTGTTCGGTCACTCGACTTGAGCTCCTTTTCTTCGAGACATGCTTCGAGGAAGACGATAAACTCGTCGGGGTGGTCGATAAATGATGAGAATGCGGTTCTTGGTGGAGGAGGGGTATACTTTGGTGCAGGAATATCGTCGTTGTCCACGATAATGTTCCCGTCGCTAACTACAGCCCTCGTGTTTCCGACCGTGCCAGGAGATGCGACTGAAGATGTGTTCATATAAGGTAGGGGTAGCAAATTGGACAGATTCTGAACAGCGCTCGCTGCCCCAGCCGCAAAGCCGCCGCTGGCGGGCGTATCAACCTCATTGTGCACCGTCAAAGTGCGCCGAGGTCGGTAATTACCTGTATAGTAGTCCACGAATAACTTGGTAGCATCTTGAGGACAATTCTCAATGAGCACTCGGGCATATTTCTGTAGACAAGGGTATGCCTGGACATGTTAGCAATGATTAAATTCAGCAGGCGGCTGGCACGTACGATATCAGGGTCTTGACGCCAGACGTAGTCGAGCGCTTCGACATAGTTCTTGGAGTCCTCTATCAAGATATCCACCACAAGATCAGTCTCGCCGTGCTTCTTGGCAAGGTATGCAGCCTGCTCGTAGTATCCGCCTTGACGACACATAGCAATTGCTGTGTCAAGGTCAAACTTGAGGTCGCCGGGAGATTTAATAAACTTTTCAAGCTTGTTGATGTCTTTCAGCTTTGCATAACAGTTGAGGAGAAGGGTTGTGTGATCCGCAGTCGCTTTTCGGTGTTCATGAAGTTGTTCCAGATATTGAATTAGGTTGTGAATGCGCTGTGTATCGAGGTACTAGGGACATCAGTCTTGTTCCTGCACACAGATAAGCTACTCACCTTGCGAATGACCTGTGATGGCTCGGTTGTATCGATTGCTCGAATATACTGAACCATGGCGCCATCATAGTCAGCTTTCTGATACAAGTGATCGCCAAAGCGTCGGTAAATAAGACTCTGCTGTTCATTATCCATTCCAGACTTTTGCGCCAATTCGATAGCCAAGGGGAACATGTTTCTCTGATACAGCATCTCCAGTCGTTGCTGCAGACTTTTCTCATGATACCGGTAAACCTGACGAGGTCAATCAAAGAAACACAAAATCAGAAGACTGAACTTACCTTGCCATCTTGGAGAACTGTAAAGAAATCACCCCAGATGTCAACAAAGTGTCCCACAGGTGACATCAAAGTCTCTGTATGGCCAATGACTCGAAGATCCATATCCAGCAACACAAAAGACGATGCATTGAACAGAGAATTAGTAGTAGTATTACCAAAACGTCGCCTCATTGCTTCCGAGTCTTTCGCGGTGCTGCTTGCTGGCGGGCATGCAAGCGCCACATATTCATTGTAAACATCAATCTTGCTCTTTGGCGATTCATACGCCTTGGGCGGCCCTCGACCATCCAATGTATATGTATAGATGGCATCGTCACGCGCAACAATGACACCGTCTGTATTTAGATCACGCGTCATGCAACCCACTGCGCATCCAGCATCTTCGACGGTCTTGGGCGGTAATCCATGGCCCTTCTTGGAGAGGCCGAGTTTCAATATTCTCGAGGTCGTGGAGACGAACAAAGTGGTAAGCTTTTGTACAGCATCCCATGCAAGTTCAACACCAGTGATAGGCTCTTCTGATTCGAAGACGATTCGTTGCTTCGTACCAAGATCGTGGACCAACTCGCCTCGGATTACGGTAACTGCGCCGTTAGTGAATCCTACAGCGATTTGTGTAAGATCGTCCGTAGCCGCAAACGCAGATATCTTCAATCCGTCAGTTTCCAATGCCATAACAGACTCCCGTTGAAACTCACAGGAAATTGCCGTCGGTTATTGTTGATCATGACCGTGCTCAGACATGTCGGTGTGTTGGTCTTCTTAACAAGCTTGTCGAGCGCCCACACCTTAAGAACAGGCTCACTACTCATGTCCTCCTATTAAAACCGTCAGCTCACTGGTTCGTTTACCAAGGTTCAACAGGCCGTACCGCGACTGTTAACAAGAGACTTGTTCCTTCGACCTGGCGCATATGCGTGATGCTCCCAGCCTCGTAAGCCTGGAAGCGCTTGACAATCTTCCATGACTTATTTATTATGCTGACATATCCATCGAATGATCCAAGGAAGAGGCTATCGGAGCCTGCGCAAACGCTCGAGATCTCGTTGCCTTCGAAGAGCTGTCGGGTTTCGTCGTCGGTGATGTTGATTTGGGCGACGTCGAAGAAGTCAAACGACTTCCACTGCGATTCTTTGTTAGTATGATAAGTCTCCGAGTGCGCTTCAATCGATAAAACCTATGCGCGCATAATAACAGGGTGGTCCTTACTGAGATGGCCATATTGAAGCACTGGGGAATGTCTTGAATTGGAGAAGATGAGCCGCGGCGCGATGACGATGGTGGGACGCTGCAGCTGGGGAGCTACAGGAGCTTGCCTAGCGCCACAGTGGCTGCTACTCTGCGGCATTGGATCCGACCCATCACTGTAGAACGTTAAATTATCACGTAAAACTAATCAAAAGCTCGCTCGTTTGACGCTCATCATAACAATTGTCAGGGTATCATGTATGGTATATTAAGGGACAACCTTCCCTCCGCTGCTTATAGTAAGTACCGAACCAGAATTCTATATAAATCAAGCAAAACACCAGACACGCTCCTATTCCTGCCAAACCTGCCAGACCCAACCAACCCAGTAACCTATGAAGCAAAGCAAAGCATCAGTCATTCGCAGCAAAAAAAAAAAAACGACACGCTCATCCCTCCTTATTTCTAGAAGCCACAGGGGCATCTTCTTTCTCATTCTCGCTCTTCTCGTTGAATACCTCTCGTGGTGTAATTAGAGGACTGCTCAGACCACCAATGCTGCCGCTCACGCTCTCAGCTCGTCCATGACCAAGCAACCCACTTCGAACACTCGCAGCATCTCCTTGTTTGGCATAGTAACTGTTTCGATCACCAGATATCGCAGGCCCAACACCTGTTGCAGAGTAAATGCTTGTGCGTTCTGTTCCCATTCGAGAATTGCCGTGGATACCAGGAGTAGTGGGCATGCCCATCGGGTCGATGTTCGCACTCAGAACACTAAGTGGTAGACTTTCACGACTGCCACCCCAAAGTGACGAAGGCGCAAGAGCACGTACAGATGCGTCCGTATCGAAAGAGCGTCTTCGTCGACGCTTACTTGATGACGCTAAAGTCAGGATAGATGCGTTATCTGTGAGCAGATTGTTGGCGGTTGCAGACGTGTAAGTCGTTGGGTTTCCAGTAGGAGCCAAATGGGGTGGGATAGCCGATGCTGGTGCTCCTGTAGAGGGGAAGGGTTGGGTGAATTGAATGGACTGCGTGTTGCCATGATGCTGTGAAGTATGGTGTTGAGCTTGGCCAGCCCCATTAGGCGCCATTGACTGTATCGTAGTCAAAGTCGTCGTCAAAGACCTCACAGATGGCGCTGGGCTCGAAAAAGTACTGTCTCCCCCCCTCCTAGATTCAACTCCTCCACCAACGGTACGGCTCGTTCCAGCGACAGAACTCGCCCTATGGCTGGGTGCCGTGATTGAGTGGGAGGCCTCATGATCTGTCAACACCGTACCGGCCACACTTCCACGCCCGATCGTTGGCGGTGCCTGATCTTCTCGAGATGTCCGGGTGGATCGATCCACACTGGTATTGCTTGTACCCGTCTGTGTAGTGGTGAAAGTGCATGCACTCGTTCCGTTGGTTACACCATTGCCGACCTGCCCAGATTCCGGGTATGGGTTGTTCTTCTTGTGGCTGCGTTTCTTGTGTCTCTTTTGACGTTCACCATCGGATGATTTGAAGTTAGTGAGTTTCTTAACCCATGTTGAAAACGGTCTCCTGCGTTGACCTTGACGGTCTTGACCTGTTAGCATCAGGCATTGTGTTATGAGGCTATCGCAAGGTGGCGCTATCGCGTGATGGTATATATCATAGACATAAGAATTGTTTCAACACTCACCATGCTCTGGAGGTATCGCGTCGGTCGTCGCCATCAAATTGAGAAGAAGTCGTTGAATTAAAACGAAACGTTAGGTGGAAGCTACCAGAACAACGTCGTTGGGCAGCGGATAAAGGCGGGGGGACAATGAACCAAAGTAAAGAAGAGAGGCTCGCTCGGAGTAGAAAAGAAACAGAGATTAATGAGTCAATCCTGGATGAAAGACAGAATAATGAAAGGCGAAAACTAAGGGATGAAGCTAGAAGAGACGTCGTCAGCAGATCAAAGTGTGTGGTATGGCATGTAACAGTACGAAGGCTGAAAGCGGCGAAGCATGATGGTACGAAGGTCAGGATCAAGATCACGTGATAGATCTGTTGCATGACGAGACAACTACCTAGACTACACGGGCCAGAAGACGACGATCCTCTCTATTCGTTCATAGCCTATCTTTGACTGAAATATAAGTACTTCACAAGTCCTCTATTTCTCTTCGTCCCCTATTGTCCCCCGTAGGTACCCGTTGATTCTCCTGTGGCTTCGAGTTTGGACTGAGCTGGCTCTAAGCTCAAGGCACATCTTTTCTTGGCGCCACCTCCACTATGCGGACCCTGGATTCGGGGACGGTTACCCACTGTGCCTTAATTAGATCGCCCTAAAACCAGGTGCCCCCTAGCTAGGTGCAGCTCACCTCAGTTTCAGCTCGCTTCGACGTCATTTTCCAACTTGGACTTTTACACTTTCAACACCACAGCCAAACACCAACTACACAAACAAGCATGACCTGCTGTAGAGTATGATCATCAGGCAACTTCCTCAGGATGTCGTCGATAAGATTAAATCATCGGTCAACATTACCTCTCTGAATGGCGTCGTCTGTGGTCTTGTTACAAATTCTTTAGACGCTGGCGCATCCAAGATCAACATCTCGATCGACTACAGCAGGGGAAATTGTACCGTTGAAGATAACGGGTCCGGAATTCCACCCGAAGAATTTAAAGATGGCGGGGGCCTCGGGAAGCCCCACCGTGAGTGAAATGATATTAGTTCCATGATGCTATTGTACTTACGTTTTCTCAGATACATCCAAGTTCCCTTCAAGGTCTTCTGTTCATGGGAAGCATGGAGATTTCTTAGCATCCCTTGCTACTTTCTCTCTTTTAACCATCACATCTCACCACCAAAGGCATATTTCACACAATTCTATTTCCTTCCACAACTCTCGCATACTGGCTAGACAGTTGCCTTCGCCCCCTGAATCACGGCTTATCAACTTTGATCATGGCACTCGCACGACGGTTCGAGATCTCTTTGGCAATATGCCAGTTAGGGTCAAGCAGAGAGCCACGTTAACTGAAAGATCTGCTCTTGACAAAGACTGGTCGAGGTTGGTTCGAGCTATCGTAGGCCTGCTACTTGCCTGGCCATCAGGTGTATCCGTTTCACTCAGGAACACAACAACCCAGCGTGAATTGCGGTTCCGACCAGCAGATAAAGCAGATATAATGTCTAGAACCTCTCGAATTCTCACACAAGCTGGCCTTGCCGACTCGAATGACGCAGATTCCTGGGTGCCCGTATCAGCGTCATGCGGACCTATTTCCGTCAAAGGCGCCATTTGTACGAGTCCTGTTGCAACACGGCGATCCCAATTTATCAGTCTGGGCATTCAACCAGTGAGTAACGAGTTTGGCACTGATGTTCTTTATGAAGAAATCAATAAGACCTTTGGAAACTCTAGCTTTGGCGTGATTGACGGTGATGAAGACCATAACGGTAGCTCACTGAAGCTGGATGAGTTTACAGGAAGAGACTTGAGAAGTCGGAAGGGGATCGAGCGATGGCCCATGTTCTATCTCAAAATAACCGCTACTGGGTTAGAGGGACTCGACAGCCCAGATCGACTTGACAGTCAGGGGCAGACATTATCTGCGATCATAGATCTTTTGAAGGCAACCTGTTACGGATTTCTCAAAAAGCATCATTTTCGTCCACAAAAAGTTCGACTAGCCCCCGAGGAATCGCTGTTCTCGACAGCAAGAACATTGAGCCGGTCGAAAAAGCCTAAGAAGCAACTGGCCTCATCATCGAATAGCTCGAGAGCTAGCTCCGTCACTCCTATCTCCAGATCTAGCTCTCTTGGAGCAAGGGGAGATAGCCCCTTTGAAGGTTGGCACCGAGTTAAAGTTGGGAGAGCTACGCCACTCACCGCCACCTCCAAAACGGTGGATCTTCGTACAAAAATGCGAGAGGAGTCACCGATGGGACGTCTCGTTGGAGAAGGCGGGAAACTGTTACGCAAACCCTTTGACGAGCCATCCCCTGAACCTGAAGGTAATCCAGGAAGTCTTTCTACAAACAGTGGCGTGAGCTCAAACACATGTACTGTTGGCGACGCAACAGGTGGCGGTGACACAAGCAACAGTGTTACCTGTCAAGGTGCACAGAAGCGAGATAAACGCCCTAGCAAATGGCTCCAGGGTGTCACCAGCTCATGGGAGAATCCCATTTTTCAGCCCGTAGAACCATCGGTGCCGTGTATCAATGGCTCTGCACAAGATCAACTGCATGCTTGTGCACATGGGAGCGTTCATGTTGGGTTTGACACTGGGTCCATGAGCCTTAATGGGAGAATATCACGTCAGGCACTTGCTCATGCTACTGTGATAGAACAGGTCGACCGCAAATTCATACTGGTGAAGCTTCCCCTTGAGCATGCAGCATCTGGGACATTGACGCATGAAAAGAAGAGTTCTGCCTTGGTCATGCTCGACCAACATGCAGTTGATGAACGATGCCAACTTGAAGACCTGATGGCGAGCTACTTCACCCATGACCCCTTGACAAACCAAACTTCACCAATCATAGAACCTCTCGACCGACCTATAATCTTCGAAGTCTCAAAAGAAGAATGGTCTCTTCTCGAACAGCATCGCGATTATTTCGCTTCTTGGGGCATCACATATCAAACACCTACCTCTTCACAAAACAAAATCATAGTCACCGGCCTCCCCCCAAGCATCATCGAACGGTGCCGACTAGAACCCCGACTTCTCATTGAACTTTTACGAACAGAAGTTTGGCGAAGTGTCGATAGTAGTGTTCCACTTGTGCGACCATCAACCACTACCCCTGACAAGCCTTTGATATCACGTTTCAACGGGTGTCCAAGGGGTATTCTGGAATTGCTACACTCCAGAGCCTGCCGAAGTATGTTGCTCGTCTGCTATTTACTCCTGCTTCTGCTGATTTTGTGCTAGGTGCAATCATGTTCAACGATGTTTTGTCCGTAAAGCAATGTGAGGAACTCATCTCTCGCCTGTCGCGTTGTGCATTACCTTTTCAGTGTGCGCATGGCCGACCCAGTATGGCACCATTGATTGATCTTGGAAACGGGGCCAAGTTTGGCGGTTGGCAAGAATCAAAGCGGCAGAAGACGGTTTCGTGGAAGAGCTGGATACGGGAGTCATGATGAATTGTATGAATTTCTTGATACCTTTGTTACATAATCATGTTTTTACATATTGAGCATGAGTATAGAACTTCGTACATCTAAAGCAATGTTTCATTGAACCGCTTGTATGAAGCAAATATGCAAGCAACTAGGGATATCTTTCTAGGTTTACAGGCATTTTACAAACTCAGATAAAGATTCCAGTGGCGAAAACAGCAATAATCTCTGGCATCGACGCCTCAATAGCAAGCCACCCTGACCAGCGCTATGCTGAAGTCCGCTCTCCAACGCCGTAGTGTACATCCAACGCCTCATGTGCAGCAAAGGCCTGGCTACCTTTGTATGGTCCATTGTAAAGAGAAAGGGTATGATTTGTGAAATTTAGGTCATGACTCATTTCGTTGATTCGCAGCTCATATGCGAGATCGAATGTAAATCGGAAATAGTGAGTTACTCAAAAGGATGAGTATAAAAGGTAAGCGTTTAGGTCGTTGCCGCACCCTGCGACTCCTCAGACTGTGGATTTGCGGCTGCCTCGGCCAAATGGCGATCAACAGCCTCGAGCTGTCGCTGTTTCGCTTCCTCTTCTGTTTCCTTGATCCAAATCTTGTTGTCATGATCCCATCGGTGTCTGTAAACTCTGTTAGCATGTGGAGGTCTGAGGGGACGCCCCGCCAACGGTATGATGGCGAAACGGCTGTGGTGGCAACATACCCTGCCCAACTCTCGGTGACTAGACTCTTCGTGTCATATTCGTCAACCAAGATCTTGTTGAAGTTGAACGGAACACGAGCTTTGACGCCCTCAAATTCGGTGATGCGCATAGGCCACAGGTCCTGGCTCTTATACCGATGCTTGTTTTTGCAGCTCCAGACCCCTGGGCGATCTGCCTCGCGCTCACGGAGGCCAGTAATATCGACGTACATGCCGTTCTGCATGTCAATCCAACGGCCGTCAATAATATTCCTTCCGTCTGAACGGTCGATATCAACGTGGTGGGGGTTGATGTCTAGGAGATATTTCTTCGAGATAAACTCTCCTGTGGCAGTTTCGGTATAGTTCCAACTATGCTCGGTACGGTTGAGGTTATCGCCAATCCATTGAAGGGTATTGTTTGACACTTGAACATCAAGATCGTAGTCCCAAGGCATGATCTGACCGTTCCACCACCAACCAAGAAGGGTTCCGTGAGCAATCCATGTTTCCACGCCGTAACTGTTCATATGGAACAAATAGCTTCGAATTAGATCTCGAAGAACGAGACGGTGTTCTTCATACGAGACCTTCGATTGGAAATAACGGTTGTCATAATGACCAAGCTCGATATTTCGACCGGCTTCGACGAAGTATTTCGGTGTCTTTTCATCTGCGCGCTTGGCAATCGACGAGGAATCTTCAATGTCTCGAGTTTCGTGGAATAGTGGAGGAAATGCGAGAGCGGCGGCTGTTGAAGAGAAGGAAGCGAAGCCCCAGAGGAGCAGTGACTTTACTGAGCGCATGCTTGCTGCTGTACGATTCGGTTATCCTGATGGTAGGAAGGAAGGCGGAGGAGAGGTTGGCAGTCGGGGGAAACGTATGCGGAAGCGATGCGCTTGATTTGTAGGAATGTCATGCAACGGGAGGTGGGCGGATCGGATCGTCACAGGTCGAATTCTCGATAAAAAGGAAGAAAGGGAGAGGAAATAGCTATACTTTTGATCCAAGAGAAAAAGGAGAAAGTGTCGTGATAAGGAGAGGAACACGAATGAGGTATCACGGACAATGTCAACAGCACATGATTGATATGAAGAGAGGAGAGGAAGCACAGAGATTAGAGAATGGGAAGAGACGGTGATGAGGACTTCTTTCCTTGAAATGAATGACGGAAGATGTGGGTTCGTTATCCCAGCGGAAGGAACGACCCGAGCAGGGGGGAAGAATAAGAAAGACGCAAGTGCAGGCGCAAGTGCAAGGAAGACCGGCAGGTGGGCGACGCCGCGACTGTTTCCAGGGGGCGCGGGGCACACGCCTCCTTGCCTAGAGCGGGAATAACTGATTGTGTGCAAGAAAAGGTATCAGTGCAAGTGTGACAGTGACATCCAATTGTATGTAAGGCACGAGTATCATATTCAATGGATCTATAAGTCAAATCTACGTAATCGTTCGACTTTACTTCACTTTACTTTGTGGATTTGATCAACTGTTAAAGTTTATCTCCTCCAACGCCGTTATTGTCATTTCCATTCCTCATATCAAAATTAGAGCCTCAATTAAACGCTTAAAACTTGACTCTATCCGTTTTGGAAAAGATATACGTCAGCTGCACGGCAACCAGCATCCGAGAAATTGTGTGTATTCGTCGCACCTAACGATACAAAACATCTTGGCTGTGTAATAATTCGCCTACGCCGAGAAATGCCAATGTTTACACCGAATTCTCACAGCGACTAGGAATACGCGGACACTGGAAGTGGACTTTGTGTCGGTTGCGCTAGGCCCCGCAGAGGAAAGAAGTCGTGTGCTGTTGATCATCGTGATGGGCTTTGCCAAGCATCAGCGAAATGAGGCCAAGACGTGCTAAGTCCAACTGTAAAAAAATCAAGTTTTTAACAACTCAAGTCAACTCAGCAATGCATTGATGGGGAATTGTGAGTGAACGGAAATACGGCATTGAGTCTTTGTAACTAAATAGACGAGGGCTTCGAGACTGCAGCCACAATTGTTAAAGATAGATTGGATATCAGACCCATTACTTAAACTGCCGGACCGAGCGACACTTTATCGGTGGCCCCATCTGGCTTGGTCAAGATCTTGGTGCCTCGTCATCATCTTTCCGATCCGGATTTAGCACGCACCGAAGCGCCGGGTATTGCATAGCAAGGGTCCCATCTCCAAACCGAGAGAATTCTTTTAGACTTGACTTTTAAAAAAACTGGCCCATAATTGACACTGCAGAGTCTAATGCTTTCCCTTTAATAAGATTGACTCAAGGTTTGAGTCAATTACTAAGGTATGCAATGCAATCTTATGCATTCAGAACCCTACGAGATTACAATGCTGCATCAACACGGCAAAAAAGAGGTCAAAACACCAAAAATTGTTATCATGAGTAGTTCTCATGAGGCGGACTCTCCCGCCGGGAATTGAACCCGGGTCTCAAGCGTGACAAGCTTGCATACTGACCACTATACTACGGAAGATGTGCAACTGTTGTCAGTTGCGGTAGTGGATCTTGACAACTTCTCGTGAATTGGCCATATATACATACCGCACTTTCTCTGCTGTTATCAACGGTCTTGTTAACCTTAAAAACGACTCCGGGCCCGTATCTTCTTGCGCGCACAGCGGCTACGGTTTTGCATCATGCACGGAGTATCTTCTGCTGTGACGGCTCTCTCACGCATCAAGCCTTCTTATCCAGTGCCAAAACGCTGAATTTGTCTTGGTCCGTCCTTATAGACATTTGGCACCAGGCACACGCTAGTCTGCTCGCAGATGGCGTCCCAAGGGATCGGATTCTGCCCAAAGGGCTGTGGCAAGTCTCATTGGTGTGGCATGAGAACAAGAAGACGTTCTAGGATGACGTTCATGCAAAGCCTCTACCCGCGTGGGAGTACGACCCGCTGAAGGACTCGAAGCCTCCGTTCGGACCGCACAATACTTGGGTGCCAAGCACCAACATGCCCTATCACTCCATAAATACTGTAAGCGGTAGTGAATTAGAACCAGAGCATCAAGTCGGCCATCCAGCAGCAGATGCCTGGCCTTCTGATGACCAGAGATTCAAGGCGCTGGCAGTCTCAGCAAGTCCTCTCTTGTTTGAGCCAGAAACCGCAGATTCAGGCCAAAAGCCTAAGCAGACCTTGCTCATTGACACGACAATCCGCAATCCGCTGAGGATGGCTCAACATCAGCCATCGACCTTCCGCATTTTAGTTGCTATCATGCGGAAGCATCACATGTCCGTTTTCAACGGCGACCCCAACACTGCGAATGACCACGCCTTCTGGGCAAACTTGTTCATGGAAGGTCTAGATAGGTCGTGGATGGTTGGCATTACTACGACCTGGAAGGAGCGCTTCAGTTGGGTACTGCAGTATATTCGAACAGGCAGCCTGCCTCAGGAGGCTCAAGTTGCTAAAGAGGTTCTTCGACTAGCTATGACGAATGTGTTATCGCAGCCGAAGCATCCGTATATTTACGATGCGAAAATCTCAACTTCGAAATACCTGAACCCAGACTTGAGTCCGGTTTGGGTAAAGGAATTTCTCACGGCCAGCGGCGATATCATTGAGGTGGAAAGAGGCGCACGAATCCGCCTAGAAGGCTTTGATATCGATAAGCTCTGCAAACACTTTGGCATACTGATTGCTCCGCTGTGGGAAGAAGAAGTGTACCCGCAGGCGGCCTCTCATCGTGTCCAGAACACTACATCCAACACGGGCCCAGGCTGTCCAGCGCCAAGCTCGATGTTCAGAGAAAGCGGAGACAGTATCAACCAAGGCATGGCTTCGCATATTGATGAAGGGAATCCTCGATCAGTATTGCATCCGTCGCGCTCTGAACCAGTCCTGACTAGGGCTTTTACACAAGGGCTCGTCCATTCCATGGCTGCGTCTACCACACAGGCTTCAAACAAGAAGCGCAGGCATCAAAAAGCTTTCCCTCAAGATAGGGGAGGGGGAAAGGTTTCAGCTCCCAAGCGCTCCTGCGCGGGACCACAGGACCTAGGAACTACGACATGTGCAAGTGATGAGAACCTTAGATCTTCTTCTGAACCTTCACCAGCGCTTGCGGACTCTCTTGCCGCGACTCAAGAAGGCTGCCACCACAGTCATCAGGCATCTAGTCGCACGACAGGAGAGAACGAAATAGGAAGCAGCCAACTGATCTCGCCGCTTCTACCTGGAACGCCGACTATAGATTATCTGGGGCTTCCGCCACCAGAGTCACCGCCTCCGTATACATTTTCAGCAGCTATGCTGAAACGCAGTTGGCACGAAGACGAGGATAATTACCTTAAATATCTCATGGAATGTGAGTTGACGTGGCCACAGCGATATAAAAAGTTCAAGGCACGGTTCGGCGAGATACGTTCAGAGATGAGTCTCAGCGCGAGATCGCCTAAACTTGAGAAAGACTGCCCGAGGTTCCTTCAACGAAAGGTTCAATCAAAATGGTCTCTTGAAGAAACAGCAGTCCTGAGGTCCTTGGTCCCTGCAGAAGATGACTGGCAAGGTGTGATTGAGAAGTTTCAGGAGCGGCTCGGCCACACTCGAACTGGTCAGCAGATCAAGAGTAAAGCTTGGTGGGAGAGCAGACAGGGGAAGCGTAAAGCTGGATGGCCGAGCCTAGACACATCTCACCTTGATTCCCAGGAACGGTGGACTGATGAGCAACACGAATTCCTGGTATCACTTAAGAAGACTGGAGTGGACCGCAGCAAGTGGGTTGAGTGTATGCGAGATAAGTTCGATGTGGAGCGGACACTCGATGCTCTAACCTTGAGGCTCAGTCACTTCGGCTTGCTTGATCACACCTGGGATGTCTGGACAGCTGAAGAGGAAGACTTCATGGCCGATTGCATTGCTACAGTGAACAGAGGTGAAGTTTGTGACTTGTTTTGGGACGCTTTCGGGACTCAACGAAGCGAGTCTTCCATCTGGACGAAATGGGCTGAGATGAAGAAAAAGCCAGGATATCGCACAAACAACCAAGGCATCTTCTGGACTACTGCCGAAGACACCCTCATCAGGGAATGGACGGGTAATTTCACGGGTCTCATGGCGGCGTATAAACAACAATTTGGGGACCACCGGACCGAGGGTGCTATGAGGGGAAGGCTTCTGAAGATGCGCCGTAACAAGATAGAGCCTTCAAATTAACAGGAGAATTAGTCAGCGCAGTGACGCTCGCATTTGACGTGCCTCCGAGCAGAATAAGATGAATTCTGGTATGACGTGGCTTCACGGTCACAATCAGTAGTAATATTCCAAGGCTTTGCAAGATCCAGATCATCGTCTATTCTCTATATGGTAATAGTCGATATTAAGGCACATGACGCTCGAGAAAAAGCGACAATGCTAATACTAGATTGCTCTAGTCTGCTCCAGCTACTACCGCCTCCCGCAAACTTCCATTGTGGGAGCAGGAAGACTCCGATTGCGACGGTCGCTTCTTAGCTCAAAGGAAGTACAGTGGTGTCTGCCGAATCTCCTTGAATGGCCAATGCGAATCTTTACGATACAGCGCAAGTTGAGCTTGAATCGATTCTCTGAGACTTTCAGTGGGAGGGAAAGAGCTCGAGCTTACGGTACTGCGGACTGCGAGCATCAGCCGCTTCTCCACGGGCAGATCAGGTGTTAGGGCGAACGCGTCAAGTTACCCTCAGACCATGGTCCAGCGTCTTCAGCGCGACGAGGCAGATGCGTCATGCGCAACTCAGACGCAAGGAGAATGAACTGGGAAAGGGACTAGAGCCTAGGAAGCAGCGACTCAGTTGGAGAGTGATCTTCCTATCAGTGACATGTCGTTCTTCGAATGTTCAGGCATTCAAGGTCTGAGGTAGCGGGGTCAATCTGAACTGACCAATAAACCCTTAGCTCTAGGGGATGGGAGCTACTAAATGCATCTGCTGTTGTCCTGTTATATTTACAAGACTACTAAGCAAATTTATTAACTGAGTCATCATCTCTTAGATCAAGCCGTCACTTCAGCAGGGACCCTCAATTTCCGTCCCTACGTCACAATGCGTACAGGCACCCTGAAGCGATCTCGCAAAACAATCATTGCGGGGTTACTTCATTTATTACATACAAAAGTTTGCCCCCAAATACCGTAAAAACTCTGCTATATGGGACGGGGCCGACAAGGGCTTTGGCGAGGATCTGGTCTATATAATTGGCTTAGAAGCTGCTGATGATTACGTAGCAATCATCCTATTGGGTAAAGATCCTTGTTGACCTCGTCCCAAATAGCAGAGTGTATACGGTAGTTGGCGATATTGGCTGGAGAAAGCTAGGGTAATACATGTACCCCGCCGCCTAACGAACAGCCACCGAGACCGGCAGCGAGCGTGCCTAATTCGGCTTGACTCACATCCCCACCTTCACTGCAAAAACGCACTGCTTGTGTTAAGCCATAAAATTTCAATCACCTCGCATTGTTACCTCGCCTTGAAACCGAATTACCTATCGACACGTTCAAGAGTCGAACCACAACATCCGAGATTCAGAACAAGCTCGACATACTCTAGCATCCGCGCCACTCAACACAAGTCCCGGATTCGATTCACCGACCGAACGACGACCACCCACCATGTGCGGTACCGACAGCAACGAGACCAGTGGCCAAGCGCCCACCAACACCTCACACCCGGCCCAGAATCACAATCCTACATCATCACCCTATGCTCAGATGCAGGACTACATCTCCAATGTCAACCGCTACAAGATTATCGAGAGTAAGAAGTTCCCGGCGGGGCAGAGCCGCTCGAGGCTTTTGACGCCGGCTGACGTGCATCACAGGCACCTTGAGAGAAGGCGAACAATTCGCCAATGCCTTCTTCACCACGGAGAACAAGTACGTCTGCCGCTTCTTTCGGTGTGACCGCGCTGACAGGGCACAGGATCCAAATTGCGAAGATGCTTGACAAGTGAATAACACCAGACCTTGACCACCACTTACGCACCCTCTGACCAACGACAGGTTTGGCGTTGACTACATTGAGTTGACGAATGTTTGCTCAAGTTTGTCCCTCTTCACTTCTTATGGTGGGGGAAGTACTAACTTTCGAGCAAGGCCCCCAGTCGTTCGAGGACTGCAAGATTATTTGCGGACTTGGACTTAAGACTAAGATCCTCACACACGTGAGATGTTCTATGGATGATGCAAAGAAAGCTATTGAGGCTGGAGTGGACGGTGTAGATCTCGTCATCGGTACATCGTCCTATTTGCAGCAATATTCGCATGGCAAAAGCATTGAAATGATCACGAAGAGTGTGTTGTCCTCTGAAGCTGGAGATCCGTCTATCGGGAGAGCTCTTGGCGGATTTCTGGGGTTGTCCGGAACGTATCCACTGACTGTCTACTAGCTGCAATTGAGGTCATCGAATATGTTAAGAGGTAGGCCCGGAATAACATTGGGTTGCGTGGTCAACGCTGACACCCAAAATAGCCAAGGAGTGGAAGTTCGCTTCTCCTCCGAGGACTCCTTCCGTTCCGACCTCGTCGACCTACTTACCCTCTATAAGGCTGTTGATAAGGCCGGAGTCCACCGAGTGTACGTCCAGACCAAGGCAAAGCGCAATTGCGAAACTCGTCATGCTAACAGGAGCAGGGGTGTCGCAGACACAGTTGGAGGAGCCACTCCTCGTATGGTTTACCAGCTCATCTCGACATTGCGCTCAGTGGTAGGATGCGATATCGGTGAGTCTTACTTTTATACTTTTCCATGCTGGCATCATCTTCCACATTCTCCCCTGCGTCGCCCTTTACGTACTGGTTGCAATGATCGGCATGCCCTGTGGTTGTGTTCTAAAGGAACCCTCACAAGCGATACAAGACTACTTTGTCCAAGGCAATGACCCATTAAGCCCTCTTCGCGTCACGGTCGTTCAAGCCAATGGCATGGTGAGCCTCAGGCCTCACAGCCAGCTACGGCTTGGCATTCTCAATGTCTATATCCCCCCCTAAGTTTGCCCAATCCGGTGCTCTACCACCTTCGACACACATTGACCCCAACCTTCGCGACATCATCCGGGCTTGTGCCATAGTTTTACGGAGCAAAGAGCGCTGACAAATGCCTTTTCAAGAGACCCATTTCCATGATGACACTGGTTGCGCCGTTGGAAATGCGATTAGCGCATTAGAGGGTAAGTCTTTCCTTTTCCCAATAACTCTGATTTGAGCTCGAACTTTTACTGACCGCTTAGGTGGTGCGACACACGTCGATACCTCAGTGCTTGGAATCGGAGAACGGAATGGCATTACGAGCCTTGGAGCCCTGATGGCTCGCATGGTCGTTTCGGCACCTGAGTACACCAAGTCCAAGTACAACCTCACAATGCTTAAGGAGATCGAGGAGTACGTCGCATCATGCGTCCAAGTGAACATTCCCTTCAACAACCCCATCACCGGAGCCACAGCCTGTAAGTCGTTTCCGTCAGCCCCGAAAAAGGAATGATGCTAACACCGGACAGTCACGCACAAGGCAGGAATCCACGCCAAGGGTAAATTCACTTTCACACCATTCCACGTCATGCTTTGTGCTAATCTATGGCAGCTATTCTGGCAAACCCTTCGACATACGAGATCATTGACCCTGCGCTGTTCGGCCGTATGTCCCTCTGGCTCTCACCGTCCTCCATTCTGCGGCGACTAACAATGATAGTGTCTCGTTACATCTCGATCACCTCTCGTATTACAGGCTGGAACGCGGTCAAGTCCCGCGTGGTGAGTGCAGTCATGCGAACGAATACTGTGGAGCAAAACATACTGACAGCCCAAAAGATCCAACTCGGATATGACATTTCGGACGACCACATCAAGACCATGTAAGTCCCTCTGACACTAGACTTCCCTGAAGGAGTCGTCATGTAAGAGAGATAGCGCTGACACGAAGAACAGTACCGCCAAGATCAAGCAGATGGGTGACAGTGAGTACACCAACAGACGTTTACATCGCGCATTAACTAACTAAACTAGTTCGTCCCTTGGCTATCGACGACACGGACTCAATTATCCACGCCTACAACGTGCAGCTTCGGGAGCAGGCCGCTGCCCAAGCGGAGTAGACGGGGGATGATGACCTTTAGGTATATGTGAGGGAAAGTGCAGAAAAGTTTGACATGATCAAGGCGTAAAAAACATGAATGAGGTTTCCGTATTATGAATTCGCGAGTCGCCAGCTGTGAAATGCTGAGTGCACAATGGTTCAATCGATGCCGCGTGACATGATATTTCCTCCTCAGAACATATGACCTATACTATTGCACACGTTGATCCCTTCTCTTCCTCGCCCAGGACCAACAGGTAAAGGAAGAACTCCCTTTCCCTCCACAAGTTATGGGATATCCTTGGATGTCCCTCGCTGGTGATGCATATGCCGAATACCCTCACCTCCCAAATCCACAACATCCTTGTATTTATTTTAGTACATCTTGCCGTCATCCACGGTAAAGGACATCACCTATTGTGGAAACACCTTCACCAAACCGTCCCCTCCGCCGCTCACAACCCACTTGCCGTCCTAACTTCAGATAACGGAGCAAACGCCCTCACCGCGCATAACCTAATAGCTTATAATCTCCTGCGTATATAACTGTTTCTCTAAGCTCTAGAATCAGAGTAATACATTATAGCCTGCGCTTACCAGATCACGGCTGTTAGGACTAAAAGACATGATGTACCATCTAAAACGGTAGGGTCTGGCTCGTCGCCATCCGTGTTTGGAGGATCCAGATGCAAGAGACGGAACTGTATTGGAGGTTATGAGCCACGCATCCGGTCCGTATCTTGTGCCTTATGCCAAACCCTTACACAATCGCCTTGGATTTATGTATGGATCATGTGTAACGGAGGTTATTCAAGACGATATTCATCAGTTAAACTGATCAAATAATTTACCGTACCACCCAGCCTTACCGTCCTGGTAGAGTCTCATTCCTGTTGCCAGATGCTGTCTGCTCGTATGCTTCAACGTCTCTGACAGACGATGGTTTTCGCCTCCATTCTTGTTCTCCTCTCGAATCACGGCTTGTACATAGGCCTCCTGATCTGCGAACTTTTGAGCCAGCGCTACGTCTTTGGGAGAACCATCATCATTGTAGTTCCACGGGGCATCCATAGCTGGCGGGACGACCGACAGGGTAAGAGGGAAATCGGCGAAGAACTCCCATGGTGCGGCAAAGGAAGTCTCCCAGTCTATGACGCCAAGAATTTGGTATGCATCATTTACAATGATATTGTTGTGACCAAAATCGCCGTGACAGAGTGGAAATGGGCCATGGTCCTGAACGGAAATTTTAGGGGCTAGTTGACCAATCTTGCCCGGGAATGCCGAAACAGAGGGAATGATTTCATCGGCGTATGGGCCTAATGTCCGTCTGAGCTTCTCATCTGTCATCCCAAATCTGGCCGTTTCGGCCCAGGCTTGGAAGAACTCGGTCGCGGTATCATATGGGCCACCCAGCCCAGGGATTGGGCCCTGAACACATGAACCATCGGTATTGACGGAGACAATGGTACCAATCTGGGGTAGAAGGATGGTAGAAAGCTTGACCTATGAGAAGCAAGTCAAAAATAGAGCCATATATGGATAAGAAGATCGTACCTACATGAATATTGGCAAGGCCATCCAAAAAGGGTTGCTTGAACTTGGGAGGAATCTCCAACCCCAGGTCCATGCCAACGTTACCCTCCAAACAATCCATTAACATGAATGAGGCCTTGACGTTACAGTCGCTTCGAGCCTCGTATGCGTGAACTCTGGGTACGGGGAGATCTGATCGCTGCTGCAGAAGAGACATTGTGCGAAACTCAGAATTGCTCTTGGCCTCTAGAACTTCCTCGGAAGTGCTCGATTCGGCCAAGGCGGGCAGTCGTAGTCGTGCAACCCATTTGACTCCATCTGTAAACTCCAAAATCCTGACCATGTGGTTGTAACCAAGGCCGATGTCAGGAAGAAGGGAGCAAAGAGTACCCTGGCGTTTGGAAGCTGCGTAGGCTGTCAAAGCCTGCCAATCCACCGAGGACAAGAAGGACTCCGCTCGGGAACGAACTGGTCCTGGTTCGAGGGAGGAGAAATAACTCCATTGATAGCCGGAGAAGCTGTTGCCCTTTTCCATTGTTGTTGCGGTCGCATATGGAGGATGTAAAATTTGAAGTAGGATTGAAGACAATGGACCTTTGGTGAGGAGGGTGGTGACACAAGAAACGAGTTGGCCAGACACTGGTTGGTGTTTGAAAATGGCCAATGTTTTCAAAGCTGGTTGGTTCAGAAGATGCACCAGCGGTAAGAAAATACATCCAGTTTGAATATTTCCAGGCAGTGAGATTGTGACGGGGTCGAAGAGGTTGGCATTGCCCTCGAGATGAATCCGCCCCAGAGGTCCGTCACTGCTTCCCCCTTGCGATATCGAGATATTTGTTTGATGCAGCCTAGGTGGCTATTGATGGAAAACGAATTATGAAAACGTGCCGAATTGTGATGCTCAGCTCAGCCATAGATGGGCCATTGAAACCAGTAAAGAGAATTGATGGGCCGGCTCGCGAACTGTAGTCTCGAGTGATAGCTTAGTAGCTAGAGGCCATGGTTTGATGAGACCACCACTCCAGACACGCAAATGATACCCTTCCTCCTATTGGCTCTCGTGAAATCCCCGACCTCTCCAATCTCGAATGGTTCCAAGCTCAGCAGCTGCATGGGGTGTGTAGACGGCACGCGGGATAGTCTACATAGGGACCGGAGCAGACGGTAAAGGGCCACACCTTTCCCGTGCCGTTAAGGACTGCTCTCATAGCCCATTCTACAATAAAGCAGATATACGAGAAAAGCTCAATATAGCAAACAGTAAAGTCTCCTTCAACAACCCCTCTGTGCCTCTTGTATTTCTGCGTGTCCAAAGAGTACTCGCTATGGGCAGCCTCTTTGGGTGGGCATTGAACTACGGACACATGCATTATTACTTCCAGAGGGATAACATTAGCCCACGGCACTACTAAACAAAGTAAAGGGGTTTATACAAGTACCTGTTTACGGGTTTAATTCTCAAGGTACTGTTTTCATGTAAGAGCCAAGCGAGGGGGAAGCTAACCATTCGATTTTGTCGATATAGGATACTGTACGCAACTTGTTCCCACAACCCTCACTACAACAGGTGATAACCTGCTATCATTCCGTGGTATAGTGGCCAGTATGCAAGCATGTCACGCTTGAGACCCGGTTAATTCCCGGCGGGAGAGATCCAGCCATCCGTGATACGCAGATTCTCTTTTTGGTGTTGATGGATTCACTTGACTTGAGCTTTCACTTCACTGTTTTGCATTATAGGAGAACCACGCGCAAGGAATGTTTTGACTTTGAGTCTAGCTAAAGGCAGCGTCTTTCGCCAACTAACTCATTCTTCTTCAATGAACCATATTTCTCTGACTGATGTTCGGTGTTAAGGTGCTGACTGATTGTTCTCCTGAGGGGTATTGTCCTGTTGAGGGGCGTTGTTCTGCTGAGGGGTGTTGTTCTGCTGATGGCCGTTACTCCCGTTGGTATTGCCCTGCTGTACGATACATCGGACAGGGCGTAGATCCGGGTAAAAGTGTGGGGTGAAGGACGGACCATATTCGTTATAACGACCACTAGCCATAATATCGGAATCTGGGTACCACCGTTGCAATGCGCTCAATGTTTTGACTTTCTCTCTCTGTCTTTGTGTCGACGCATGTGAGAAAAGCATACTACCGAGGACAGCATGTCCCCAGCATACTTGGTCATTTCTATTCCCTGTGGCAATTCTCCTAACCTCTTTGGTCAAAATAGCCCTGCGCCCATTATTTTCCTCTTCGGAATCGAGGCACTCCGGTAGGCGTCTCCAGTTTTGTGCGTTCTCATGCGGATCATCTTTGGCCCAGGTGTTCCATTCGTTCACCAAGGTATTGTACAAACGAATTCCATCATCGTCAGGCTGGGGGCATTTGCTCCATCCTCTAGGGGGGGGAGGGCCATGGCAGATGAACCAGGGAGAGGATTGCCGTTTGTTTCGTTAGGATGTGTTATAATCAACAAGTTTTGTCAGTTTGCTAAGATGGAAACTGAAGAAGTGTATTAAAGATGAGAATGACGATGATGAAAGAAACGTATCAAAGGCGGAGATGGTGATGATGAAAGAAGTGTATCAAAGACGGGATGATGGTGGTGGTGAAAGAAGAATATCTTAGTAGTCAGGAGGTTAAAGAATGAAGTCAGTAGTAGACACCTCATCGACAGGAAAGTGCTGGTGATAGTAGGTGCAACCAGACATACACCATACCTTCCCTACCTAGCACATAAATCTAAAGGGATTCGAGGAAGGCTCATTGCTGGGTGCCTTAGCTATCATCGAAGGGCAACATAATGAGAAACGTGGATCAGAAAATGCAAGTTGTAGAATCATGTTCATTCTTGATATAAGATAATGATGACTCGCTAATATCCAAAATGACCTGGTAAGTACCTTATCCATTCAAAAGACCCATCGCTAATACCCAATCGTAGCATGCTTATATTCAAAACCATAACACGTCTTAGAATCGCCATCTGTGGCCAGGGTGCTTCCAGTCCAAGTTTGCAACCTCCTCGGGTGACAAGCCTGCAAGCTCCTGCTCGACGTTCTTCTTGTCGCGCCGATTGTTGTCCCACTTCATCCAGAAGTAACCAGAAATGCTGAGAATGAAAATCATGCTACCAGTGGCACAGTTGAGGCCATTTCCGATGGGAAAGTTGGGGGCGTCCTTGACGAGGTAGGACCAGGTTGCGATGAGACCACCAATGTTGCCAAACATGACCTGTGAAGTGTTAGCGAGGGTTGATGTGGTTGATGGGAGAGAAACTTACGTTCATGCCGATGGCACTGCTTCGTGCAGTATCACTGACGACGTTGGCGCTGATGTGGGCGTTGGTCATGGTACCCAAGACCATACAGGTACTGGCAATCAGGAAACAAGCACCATATCGAACACTGGGAGTCTCAGAGGCCAGGAACATGGCGTAACCGATGATAACGGTGGGAGCGGAGAGGATGATGAAGATCTGTCGCCTGTCGAGATACCAACTGAGAGCAGGGAAGGCAACAGCAAAGACAGCTCCAACGGCATAAGGAGGAACACTGTGAAGCTGCTTCTGAACGGTGCTGTACTCGGGATAGATGGCTCCGACGATGGTAGGGAGGAAGAAAGCAAGACCCTGGACGGTGATGTTGTTGAAGAGGAAGATGAAGGCGATCTGAAGAGTGACGGGGTTGGAGATACCGCGCCAGAGCTTGACTCGATCGATACCGTCAATGACTTCGGTTTGAGCAAGACGCTCGGACTTGACACGGGCGATGCAAAGATCCTTCTCCTCCTGAGTGAGCCATCGAGCAGTCTCGGGTCGATCGGTGAGGGTGATGAAAGCGAGGAGACTGAGACCGATGGTGATGATACCCTCGATAGCGAAGATCATTCGCCAGTGGTGAAGGCTACCGAAGTGAGGGAGCTTGAGAATAGCACTGGCCAAGAGACCACCGAAGGCACCAGCAAGAGGAGCCATGACCATGTAGAGAGACAGACGGAAAGTCAACTCAGAGCGCTTATACCAACGGGAGAGATAGTATGCGATTCCGGGAAGCATACCAGCCTCAAAGATACCAAGAAGGAAACGAACACCGCAAATAGCGGCTTGGCTGTGGACGAAGGCGGTAGCGACACTGACGATGCCGAAGGCGAGAGAGGTAGCAGGGAGGAACCAGCCGGGACCCATCCATTTACAGCAAACGGTAGCGGGAATCTCGAAGATGATGTATGAGATGTAGAAGACGGAGAGAATCTTGTTGTAGTCGTAGCCTTGGAGGTTGAGGTCCTCTGTCAATCCAGCAATGCGGGCATTACCTGAGGTATGTGTTAGTGAAGTTGAGGTGTTGAGAGTGATAGAATAACTCACCGATATTGGCGCGATCGATGAAGCAGAAGAGATAGAGAACCGCGACGGTTGGGACGGTGTACAAGTCGAGTTTCCATCGTAGTCGACGCTCAGCAGCTGGATCGAACTGGACAAGAGAGTTGCCGTAGCTAGACAATGTCAGTATGAGTTTGTGTCATAAGTGAGTGAGATACTCACGCGTCGGTAGCAATGTGACCGTGACCAGCAGCATCATGATAGTCATTAATGACACCTCCCTTCATCTCAGAGCGCTCATCAAAACCCTTCTCCTGATCCCTATCAGATATAGCCATGATGGGCAGATCTCACAAAAGACCACAATTAAGAAGAATAAAAAGAAGTGGATAGGTCTTCAAGCTTCTGCGTACTGATGCTTGAGATACAGGAACATTAAAAAAAAAAAGGGCAAAGGAGCAGGGTCTTGATATAGTAAAAGCCAAGGATGGATAACACCTCGGGCTACCGTGTCGGGACAAGCAACCCCCCCAATTTAAGGTGTCTAGATTGGATTTCCCCTCACGAAGCTAATGGTACCGAGACTGGGTTGCATGCAATCTATTCAATCGATTTCTTTGGAGTGTGTGTCAGTGTGTCGGTTGTCTGAGATTTTTGCCATTATGCCCTAGGAGCGGTTTAGCTTGGGGGACAAGGGGTGGGTTACCCCCGCAAAATGTGATATCTTATTCTGGCTATGCTTTCATCCGCGGAACCCTGGTCTATTGATATGCAGCTATGATGATAGGTTGACTCGGCTAATGTCCCATTGTTGAGAATGTCAATGTCAAGGCATTGTGTCAGTATCTGGCTAAGCAACGGGCAGTTCCCGGAGAAGATTCGCCGAAGTTCAGAGTCATACTAAGCTTAAAGGTTTACTTGAGATAAACTAGACAGAGCTAGTATGTAAGCCTAGATTTCGGGAAGTAGTTTCGGGTGCGGGGAAATCACGGATTTGCTGTCCGGAGAGAGTGTGTTTTGCTGCGTTGTGTTGGAGATGGATGAGGTGAAGATCATGACCTAGAGAGTGAGAACAACCAGGTACGTATATCGTTACCACCACGTGGAGAGGACAATACATATGCATCCACATATTCTCCAACTTTGCCGTATACATACTTTTGCGACTGTAACTGTACATATCTGCCGATACTTCCCCGTGTTATACAGGCTTCCCCAGGTTTTTCGAATCTCATCTTACGATATCCCGCCGTTTCCCCAGATTCTCTTGTTAATTCCACAAAAGCAACACTCATTACCTAGCAATCGTAAGACTGAGATCTTTTTCCCCGGATTTCTGGGGTAACTTTTGCCTGGTTTGAATGGTCGATAGGAGGTCTCGATGCGGAGGTGGAGGGATGAGGGTCATTCTTGGCACGGACCAAGAAATGGTCGGCAATTGGAGTCGGCAACTAGAATTTGGAGACACCACAGACAAAGACTCATCATATTTACAGCGTAAGAGTGTATCCATAATTCAACAATAATTACGATACAATCGATTAATCACTGAGTGGCAATCATATAGAAATCTATCCCACATCCTTCTATCCCACTTGATTAGCATATATCTCGGCTGTTATACTCGGTTCTTTTATATGGAAGTCTATTCATACAGTGAACACTCTTACATGCTCTGTGCTCTATCATGACCATTTCCTCGTTATACCCATAGCCACAACCATAACCATAGCTTAACCTCAACTAACATCGTCTATCCAGCATAAGCATAACTAACCCGTCCATCATACCATTCCCTTTTAGCTTCACCAAACCCCCGGGATAACAGCCCACCTCCTCCCAACCTTGTCATCTCCAAATCTCTCCAAGTACCACTTCCTTCCCCTGACAGCCCTCGGAAACATGGCGAACATCTCATTCACCAGAAACGCTCTTGCTGGCGCGCATCCCCAGCCCGCCGCCATCCAGAACCCAGCCCACTCTATCCACTCGCACAGGTAGTGAGGGTACAGCACGTAACGGAACAGTCCCGCCTGCGGAATCTGGTAGTGCTTCTCCACGCCCTTGCTCGCGTGGCCGTTCTGCTCCAGTTTCGCGCGTTCTTGCCTCTGGGCTTCGCGGCGGCGGATATCTCGTAGTTCCTCGTCGTGGAAGAAGTTACCAGATAGGCCGAGATAGAAGATTAGAATACCTGATGAGAATTGTAAGATGGACGATTGGGATGACCATGCTGCTTCAGTCGTAGGTCCATATGCTGCGAGCCATGACCCAAGACAAGTTGCGTTGCAAATCTGAAAACTCAAGCCAAGCAGCCACACAGCAATGTGCACTGGTGACATGGAAGGCTGAATATAGGGGAACATGACAGCGCGGTAAGAGTAGTGAATCACCTACATGCCATCCAACGTTAGCCTTCATTACTTACTTACCTACTTACTCCTCATAACGCTACCTCGGGTAGGTAGTCAAGTCTTTCCCCTCCCACGGCAATACGCACGGGAGCATAAAAGAATTGGGGAATTAAACTTACAAACAGACCCGCAAGCACTTTATTCTGCCACGGAAGATCGTCGATTCCATGCTGTTCAGGAAGAACTTTCATCAGGTACAGCAGCGTCAGAAAACCAGGTGCCTCCATGGTCAACCAGCCAATACGGCCGGGGAGGTTAAGGCGGCTTGTGACTGAAGTTTTGCCCATGCCATACCAACTGGTAAGCCATTGCATTGAACCAATCTGTACGCATTAGTAACTGTATTATTTCACGTGCTTTTTTGATAGTGCTTACAATTGGGTAAGATATCTGCCAGACTTTGAGGATGAGGTCGTAGTTCTCCCGAGTGGGTGGTAACCACCCTTCGATAATGGCCATGATGACAGCGTCTGCGCCTCAACAACGCAGCAGAATGAAGGGTTCAGTTTTTATCTTTCACTGACAAGATAGATTCAGATGTTTGCGAAGAAATTGGCCATGACGAAATTAATCATGTGTTTCCATGATGTCAATAAGGTTGAAGCGGGTAGCTGCGCAACGGCCATTTTGACACTCTCCACCGCCTGTACAATTGGCCATAACGGTCGGATATTTAGTACATCTACCCCTGGTGTACGACACGAGAACAGTTATGTGGCTATCAGGATACAGGAACAGCTTCCGTTGCTCTGAATTGGGGTGCAATAGTACTATAAGACAAATATACAGATTCGATCCTCTTAGATGGGAGATGATTAGTCTCACGGAAGGGTGTATACAGCAACATTGAAGTTCACTCAGTCGATCTCAATCAACTGCCGTGCTGTCCAAACTCAAATATCAGATATCTGCCCGTCTTCCGAGGTCCCTTGTAACCATTAACAATTGAAAACATTGAATTATCACATGAAAGAAGTTCACATCATTGTTCAGGTAGCTTATCACAAACTGCGGTGCCGAGCAGGCTGCATATACACAGATCAGGGGAGGCAAGAAAACTTGAGATGTCTATCCTAAATGATAAAAAGACTCAAGTAAGTTGAATATAAATTTTATATAGATTTAGTAGACCTTAGACTAGATATTTTTGCACCTTGCCTTAGGGTCAGAAGATTCCTTGCTCCCTGTGGACGATCCAGCTGGCCCTCACTTACACATCAACAAGAGGTATAAGCTACAGCTAATGAATGAAATTTATTCAGATAGACCCGGCCATGCTAGAAATACCATTAAACTCCTGACTACCTATTCCCAAGTTAAGACTCCGTCCCTCATATGCTCATGAAATCACATCACAATGCAATCCCTCTCCTTCTGCCCACCGCCATTTACCCCCACCCCTGGACCCGAAGGCCGTCTGCCTGCAGACTGCCCAAAAGGTCTCTGCCCCACTGGCATTGACGAATTCACACTCGCAGCAGTGGTCTGCCTCGATATCGTAGGGCTGCTGCTCGGATGACTCGGGTGTCCTACCGGCGGCTGATACGTTCTGTCGTGGGCCGACTGCTCGTAGGACGGCGGCGCATCGTCTGCTGCTTCATCCGCTGGTCGTGACACGGGTGGTCTCGGTGATTGAGCTGGGATGAGGGATCGCACTCTTTGGGCGGGTATTCTAGGCTGTGCGTTGGTTGTGTTTGTAGTGGGCGCGCTGACGGAGCTGTTGCGTCCTGGAACGAGACCGGTGGCTCCTCTGGTGACGCCTCCACCTCGTGGAGCTCCTCTTGCAGGTTGTCCTCCTCTTCCACCTCTACCTCCACGGTTGCCACGTGTTTCACTTGCTGGTTGAAAGGCTTGTTGCTCGATAAATTGCTCTGAAAGCATGCTCTCTCTTCGTCTTCGTGCTTCCTCTGCTCTATGTCTTTCCTCTTCCTCCTCTTGTAATTGCAATGCGAGAGCCAAGTCTCTATCTTCCTGTTCGGCATTGGGGCTCATAGGGGGCTCATCCTCATTTCGCCCCTTTCCCCGCCGATTCTGTACTGTCGTCCATTCTCCGCCGTCGTTGTTGGAGTAGTTTCCTGCACTTGTCGAAGGAGCAAGACCGCCAGATCCCACGACCCGGAAATCTCCTGAGAGATATTCGGTGTTACCACCATTGACATCTGATAGTGTCTCCCATACGATTTCATCATGAGACTTGAAGCCTGCGTCCGTCACCAGCGTGACAAGCTGCATCGACTGGGGATGGCAGTACAGTGTGCTGAAATGATCATTTCGGAAAAGAATGGCAAATGTACCAGGCCTAATGGCTTTACCAATAACTTCAATGCCCCAAGGCGTAAGTTGAGTCGCAGAATTATCCAAGAACTCCTTGATGATGACAATATCTTGGTAAAGTTGCTGCTCATCCTCTGTGAGTCCACCTTCAGGGTCAGACAACTTCTGTTCGAGCTCTTCTTCTCGAAACAGGAGATTCTGTGCGTCTTCATATGATACGGCTTGCCGTTCCAGTGCTTCATATGCATGTTCATTCTTTGGTGGCAACCATCCATGAATCAATGGGATCGAAAATGTGGCATACAAACCCATTTCAGCCGTGTTCTCAAAGGTTCCTGGGATCAGGTCTCCCCGTTCAGCAGGATGTAAATGTGTCAACGATGTACGCTTGTAAGCATTTATCATACTCTCTGTAGGGACGAAGCGCGGGTTGACGTTCATGCCGGTATGTAAACTTTGCAAGAAAGCATACAAATCTCCAACATCTGGCAATGCATCTTCAGAACTGGTTCGTCGTGGTGACATAAGTTCGTCAAAAACAGCGTCCAGAAGCAGATTCAAACTGACTTGTTCCCTTGAGCGAAGGGTTTGTACAAGTGCAGTATCTTCGACATCGGCAGGTGTTGTCATGGTAAGTGCATTGACCAGAGCAACAAGAGGACAGGGCCCGTTTGCATTCTGGATCAAAATTGGAGATATTCGTGGGTTCTTTGACGAGGTCGAGTCATGCCATTGTATATTCTTAATTTGATAAGTCTCGGTCTTTCCGTCAATCGGGTCTCTGGAAGCTCTCCAACTCGATGGTTCAGTTTGTAGCGTTGGTTGTCTCGGCGGCAAGGGCGGCTTCTCCTCTTCAGGTTCCTTCATGGGGCTCGGCGATGGCTCTGAATCTATCAGATTCCAATCATCGGGAGATGCTGGCCTGGCTTCCCCCGTGACCTTGGCCTTCCCCTTATCGGCGCCACCTACATCGTCCCAGATATTCGTGTCTCCAGTAAGCTCTGCAGAGAGTTTCATAGGTGGCGCAGGAGGTTTGTCATTTCTCCTCAGAGGATCCTCATCCCAAGCAGGTGATTCCCTACCAGAAGGCAGTGAGACCATACCAGGTGGCCCAGCAGGTAGCGGTTCTGGTGTTGGTGTCCATGCGCCTCTAGGTGGACCATCGTCCATGAGGTTTGGAATCGGTTGCGGAGCTGATGGTACATTCTGCACCTCTATCGCCGGTTGCCATGGATTCGTATTGGGTTCTTCAATACCAAGTTTCGAGAATGATTCCGTCGGTGGTGTTTCTTGTCTTGAGGGTACTTTCTTTCGTAGAAAAGGATTCGTTTCTGGTCTGTCTCCGCCTGGTCTTAACACCGCAGGCGTCTCCTGAGATTGTTGCAGGTTATTTGGTTGTGTCCTCGCTTCTCCCCACGCCTGTTGCTCATCTTGGTTATCGAAAGCGATTCCAGGTCTGAGGGCCGCAGGAACAGCTTGAGGGTTCGGATTATCTGTAGAGGAGGCTTGTCCTTCGCGGCGGGGTCCTACATCTTCCCATCCAGGTTCATTCCCCCCTTCAGCCCAAGGATTATTCGACATCGTTTTGACAGTGTTCGTATTTGAGGTAAGTTTAAACTTGGAGTCGTCGAATGTCAAAGGAACATGTCAAATAGAGGGTTTCAGTGTACTCGGTTTGGTCGTTAGCTGATGCGCTGCTATCACACGCGGGCGACTGCGGGGAAGTGATTCGAAGTGGTTCTCGAAGCGCTGTGAGTTGTATGCATGAGATCGAGAAACTTAGCAACCAAATACCCGTATCAAACGTCAAAAATATGTCGTTCTAGTTTGTATACGTCGATATCCAGCTCTTGAAGTCCTCTTGATCGCAACAGCAATAGCTCGTGTGGGGAGATGTGTCGTCACTGGGTCCCGCTCTGTACGTGGCGGTGCAACGTGAAACTGTGCAATTCGCTGAGAGCAGAAGCTACTGTGACACAAGAAGCAAAATGACTGGAGACCCTAAGTTCAATGTGAGTTTGTCTTGGTTGGAAAGCGAATAATGAAGAAAGTTTGGCATGCGCTGAGCTGAAAAAGCTGGGCGGGTGGTGCCTGTATGTACCTACGTAGACCACAGTCAAGACTGCCCCGCCACTTGCTTACCACAGCCACGGGCCGCGAACGATGACGTGGGCCTGTCGATTCAAGTATCAAGCAAGCTGAAGAATATATACTATTCCTTTTATTGCCTCACCGCTTAGATAGGCAGCAATGCTCAATTCATAATTCTAAAGGCTGGTCCTCGCTTGTCCTTTTTCTTTTGGTCAAGATTGGCTGAGAAAGATGAAGTCGCTTAAGCTAGCATTGACGATCTGAGATACGTCGACTTACACCGCGATGAAGTGAGTGAACATGCTGTTCGGATATATATTCATACTGGAACAAACATTTCGAAAAGAAAAAAATATTTTACTCATTTATTATGAGAACGTGAGATCTTTGTAGACCTAGTAATGTCTTAGTGGACGGAGTAAGCACTCACTTCTTCATGATCCACCAATGTCTTAGATTCAACGGTCATCCAACGCTCAGACCAAGGGTCCAATAGTCATCCAGAGAATAGCTTGTGGTGGCTGGAAGTCAAAAGAAGCAATTGGTGTGCATTCTAAACGCAGTACAACAGATCTACCTCGAATTGGATCTTTCTTAACCTCCACTAGGAAAATACACCCTTAAGCATTAAACGCTGCTGAATGATACATAACTTGATTATGGGCGTCGTCCCCTTGCTTGCTTGCTTGTCAGGTCCGAGTTCCTTCGTCGCCATGCAGTCCCAGAAATGCCACAACGCCAACTCCTATACAAGAAAGGTGTATAATATCCACTTGCTCACGACGTTATCTGTGCATGTACGTCGTTAAAATTTTAACCCAAGGCTTGACAACCGCTCGCAAGATGGCATCGTGTATGTCTGTGCGAGTGCCATCTTGTCGGGATCCTGGTAGAACCATCCCTGGGCGGCATCCTTCAATCTCCGTTGGTATATCAACTCGTTCTCACACTCGCTCTTGAGATGTCTTAAGAGCTGATGTTCAGCCGTACGGTCGAGCTTGTTGAGCTTCTTTTCGGAATATTTGGCAACTTCGTCGGGGTTAACGTAGTAGTTGACGTTCAGATTCGGTGTCGTGCGCTGCTCCGTGTACGGATGTAGGGGGTTGTCGTAGACCATGCGAGGTCCTGATGCCGATGTTGTTGAAGTCTCGCCGGAGAAGAAGGATGTGATGATGGGCAGGATAAAGAATAAGATGATGGGTAGTAGACCCAGGAACGTTTGGAAAGCGTTGCCTTCGTTCTGTCGACCGCGATCGGCTTCTCGGGGTCGCGTTCTCGGCCTAGCTCCGCCAAACTGATGAACCCTGATTCCAGGACCTCCTCCAAAGTTGAAAACAAATTGAGGGCCTGTGTCAAAGGCTACAACATTAGTACGAGTCTCATCTTGCTTGTCAGTTCTGCTCACCTCCGAATGGACCACCACCAAAGCCGCCTCCACCGAAGAAACGGGCAAACATCTCCTCCGGAGTCAAATCATCCTGGAACATCGGGCCACCTCTACCCATACCACCACCACCGGCTCGTTGATTGAAGAAAGGATTGTTCGCCTGGGCGCTGGCGAATCTACTATCAGGATCTGTGCCAAACTTATCAAACTTTTCCCTCTTCTCTTTATCGCCTAGAATTCCAAAAGCTCTGCTGACCATCTTGAAGGCCTCGTCCGCATGAGGGTGTCCATTCTTGTCGGGGTGGGTCAGAAGCGACAGCTTCCGATAAGCCTTTTTGATCTCAGCCTCGGTACATGTGTCCTTGACGGTCGAAAGATTTAGAATGTCATAAAACGCAGTGGCCTCGCATCTTCGGATACGAATAACTGCTGCCTCTTGGTCTGGAGTGAAAGATCGTCCCTGGTTACCCTGCTTATGATCGCGAGATCGAGCCGAGCCACCCGTATCAGCTCCGGAAGCCGTTGCGCTGGGCATCGAAATTTTGGTTGTTCTGACGTCGCTAGGTTTCTGTATGAATTGCGAAGTACGATTCGTTGGTCGTACGTTGAGTGTTGAAGGTTAAATCGGTTTGAAGTTTCGCTGTCGAGAATGTGGGAAGAGGGAAAGTGGCTTCTTTGGGAGAGAACAATGGCATAGAAAAGGGCGTCGTCAAAGAGGCGTACGCCGTATTGGTTGGGTTTGTGCTAGTTGTACCCGAATCGCATGAAGAATATGAAGCAATCAAAACGTGGTTGAGATGGTGATGCAAAGGGGATGCCAGAAATCTGGTGTTTTCCGCTCGGGCAATCCCTAGTTGGTCGTTGGGGGACACCCACTCTCACCATTGAGTCCGTCTCAAGGTCTCGATTCCACGTGATACCCCACCACTCAATGTCATTGTTACCAATCAGCTTACCCTGTATCACTTACACGAACTACCAATCAGTTCAATCCAATCAACCTACGACATCTTGATGTAATCTGACAGGCCTAGCAGGAGTTATTGGACAATCGTTTGTATCTAAATGATCTTCAATAGCCACGCCGGTAATTTACATGCTTCCCTAAAACAGCCATAGGTTGTTAGAACCCTCAAGGCTTTGTTTGGGTTGGGATGTGAAGATAAACTACTACTACCTAGGTAGGTTGTCTAAAAAGGTACTAAGTTAATCCTAAAGTATCCTAAATCTACACAAATAGCATTGATGTCGATAAAATATGGTCAGCTTTAAAACCATTTTATGGATCTGGGTGCCAGACTTGAGTGCTCTCTACCTACATTCATGCATTATCGTCACAATAGAGATTTTTGCACGCCAATAGTTGAGAGCCACGTATAAAACAAGAAACATTGATTTGTACTCAAGAAACTATATACGTCGAGTAAGTATTTGCAATAATCAGACCCCACGAGTCAACCCGTTCTCTTCCTCATTCCTGGCTCAAACCATGCCAACGACATCGATTAAGCACCAATGAACTGCTTGATCTCAGGGAGAACCTTCTTGTAAGCAGTACCAGTAGTGGGCTCCATGCTGAACATGTAGTCACCCCACCAAGGCCCAGCAGCCCAGTACAACCAACCGGTCCAGACATCAGAGTTATCAAGCAAGTGCTGCAACTCGCCCTTGAGGGCAGCAATACAGTTGGCGTTAGCACCGCCAGCAGTCTCACCAAGAATACCCTTCTTCTTGTTGGCCTTGAGCCACTGGGTAGCAGCCTTGAGGCGCTCAACACCGATGGTAGAGCTAACGCAAGTCTCAGAGGTACCAGACGAGTCAGAGTCGAGGTACTGGTGCATCTCGTAGATGATCTTGTTCTGAGGATCCTTGAGATCCTTCAAAGCAGCACCGTTGCCGCTGGAAACCCAACTCCAAGCTCCGGTGTAGGCGTTACCCTCGACAAAGATGTACTGAGAGGTTGCACCGGCCTTGCGGATGGCGTCGACGGCGGCTTGGTTGAGAGCAGCGACGACAGAGTTGTCCATGTCGTGGTACTCGTTGTTGGTGTCGAAGATGACGAGCTTGTTGTTGGCGAAGCGCTTGGCTACCTTTTGCCACCAGACGCTAAAGTCAGAGCTCTTGATGATGTTGCCGTTGAAGCGGCCGTAGTTGTGAGGGTCAATAACGGCATAGTGGCCCCTGAGTGTGTCAGTAGAGTCATGCAAAGATAGAAAAGGTAGTTACTGACTTGCTGGTGATATGGTTGACGGTGTCCTGGAGACCCTTGAAGTAGGCCTCATCAATGGCACCGGTGATACCACTGGGAGTCACTCGCTCCATGCGGAAACCCACACGGAAAGTGTTCATACCAGTGCTAGCGAGGGTCTGCCATAGTCAGTAACACGGACAAGTTGTAAGTCAAGATTCTTACATCAATGGAGCTCGTGGTAGGCCAGATGTAGTCCTTGTTGAGCTGTCCAGGGAGGTTTCCCTCACCGAACTCACCACCAGATTCATTGGAACCAGTGAAAAGGAACTTGCCCTTGGCCCTCGAGGTATGAGGAGCAGCCAGAGCAAGGGAAGCGCCAGCACTTGCGAGAAGGAAATCTGTGAACCGCATGTTTGCTAGAAGGAGTGGATATTCGTTTCTTGTTTCAAATGATTGTAAGAGGATCGATCAACGAGCCATGCAGAGCCAAGGAAAACGGGACAACATGGTGAGTATATATACACATTCAGTCTCGGGGTAACTTGCGGTACTATGCATAGCTTCCTTCGTAGCATGTTCATTAAGTCAGGATGTGACAAGGGATGGGATGGCCAACACAGACTGACTATTGATCTTCCGTGTGCCCATATAGGAATAGACTCGGTCGATTTGCACGTTTCAATAGTTTCTCCAGATGAAGTGTAGAACATGACCCAGTTTGGTGGTAACTGATTTGCCGGTGTTCCCTGTTTGTTTGGCTGAAACAGGAGCTAGGGCCCCTGATATTTCACTAACACGCCGCGTTCCGGTACTGAACATATTGAAGCAAGAAAAGTTGAGATGATATTATTCGTGGAGTAGAGTTGTATAGCATCTCTTGGCTGACATTTCAAGACCAATGACAGCAAATTTCATCCTCTATCAAAGCCACTTGGCTCAGTTGTGAAAAACACTTCTCCCCCTAGTTGTCCTCCTAATAGGGAGTTGAACGCATCAATGACGCAACTTGTCGTACAATTATTAAAATGATCATCTCTTGTTGAAACAAGCATTTTTATCTCGTTGGTGGGATTCTTTCTCCGTTTACAATGCCATATTAAATCTCAGGTGAGAGAAGCACAAGGTGCCGGTAGCCGTTCTGTGCCGGGGTAGTCACGTGTTGGAAGTCTCGGACTAACCGATCGGAAAAAACAACCCCCGGTTAGATCCGTCGCATGGTGAAGCTTGGTGATGCAGGCCTGAAATTTCGAGGGAACGACATGTGCCAGCGATAATGCACGCGACACGGGTTCTTCTTAAGCGATCAGTGTGGAAGGGTATGTTATTTTCCATGCCGTGATATTGTTGGTTGCTAATTTTGCTGATAGGACCGCACTTGGTACCGTAAGCCGACGACCGATTCGATTACCCTGACCGTTCTAACATGCGATAGCCTACCCATTGTATGGCCCAAGTCATCCAGTGATAAGGTGCCCCCTGTGCGAACACAGGCTCGATCAGCTACGATTCTGCCCAACTTCGTCGGTCTCAAGTTCGAGGTGCACAATGGGAAGGATTACCATGAGGTGACCATTACAGAAGATATGGTTGGACACAAGCTTGGCGAATTCTCACCGTAAGTCTCGGTTTAAGCCGAAAGATGGAAATCTTCTGACTGATTATAGAACACGAAAGCCCAATATCTGGGATAAGAGGTAGAATATTAAATAGGGACTGGAATCTGGGTATACCCATGTACAAAACACTACGTGTGACATCACTAGAGCAATGATTTCAACGAAGGGATCCATTCGCATATGAAGGCGATCTATTGCAACCAGCTATGAGTTTCCTGGTTTTCATGTTGATATCATGTACGGATCCATATCCTTCCGTGAACGCCGAACCGTAACGCCTTGCAGTCATGTAACCAAATACGTACTCAGCGGTAGAACTCGCTACGCTTGACGTTGACACCGTACTCTCCAACAGCCATACCAAGATCCTCCATGGTCAGAACAGTCCTGTTCTGGCTCCCGCCTTGTCCACCGCCTCCGTAGCCTGGTCGCTGGATACCCAGCGGTGCGCCCTTGGCCTGGTCCTTACTTCCTGGCTGTCCAGTTGGCTGGCCGGGTATAGGGAATCCAGCAGCTGCGCCGAGAGAGCCCATGGGATTGTTGGTATTTGACGATGCGCGGATTCTGCTGTACTGGTATGCATCTGCGGCGATGTCCGCGATGAACTTTTGGGTTGCCAGGGCGAGGAGTCGCGCGAGGCGTGGATCGGTCTGGGGAGGTGGTGGAAGACCGGCTTTGGTCATGTAGTAGTGTGTGACTGCGTCGGGAATCTAGAAAGTGTTAGATGAGTTTGGTCGGGAGTCTGAGGTGCGTACAATTGGCGCATAGTCGTCCATCTTGTTCAAGAACTCTCGTAGAGAGACATCCTTGTGAGTTGGTAATCGAGGATCGGAGATCGCTGGAGCGGTCGCTTCATCAGCAGGAGCCTCTGGCGCAGGAGGGGTCTGCTCTGGCTTTTCAGGCGCATCACTAGCCATACTGAAGGATTTGGTGATGCGATGTGGTTTAAGATGTTGAAGTTGAAGTCAAAGTGATTGATGGTCGACGCGTTAAGAGATACGGTCACGTGATTCAATGTCATGGTCTAACGTTAGTTGTTCGGCTTGCATGAGCCGCACAATGCCAAGAAGCTTTAATGGGACTAAAGAAAGCCAACCAGGCACAATCAAATAAGCATAAACCAGCATTTAGTTTCTCATATGTATTTCCCTGCCTAATTATTCATATGCCCCTTCATTTCCTCATTGTGTATAGCGCCTAAAGCTCATCACAAATGACAGAAATAGCAGCATTCAACGCAAATAGACTACACTCTATTTTGACTTGGTACAGCACTGAAATCAACGGTCCCTTTTCCCCAAAATCTCCAAGCCAAACGGCGACGCCATTGTAATTACCGCCTTGTTGACCTCCCAAACCAACGCCATGCATGCATCTCCAGAAGCCGGAGTTGTCGTGACCAAAACTGTGGTCTTGTCTTGTCTTGCCTATTGGCTACTTCATCGTTACAGTGTCAAAACGTATAAGACGTGTTTTGCAGAGCTTGGTGCTCTCTTCGTACAGGTATCTCTGTGTCTTGTTGATCGCTTAGACGGGGAGCTTGAACTTCTTGCCCTTCATGACCTTGGTGTAGTAGATGTAGAAGAAGTCGCTGTACAGAACGGTCTGGACGATGCCAGCAACGATAGCGATGGTGTCGACCTTGTGATTAGTCTCGGCGAAGTATCGGTAGATCCAGTTGGGGATGTAAAGAGCACGGTAGCTGCCGAGAGCGAAGAGATAATGGGTGGTGATGGTCTCAGCCTCGCCAGTGCGCTGAAGCATGAAGAGCTGAGGAAGGATAGCTACAGACTCGAGCCAGATGGAGAAGGCCCACAGAATCTCGGAGATGGTGTAGTGATAGGGGAAGACGATGGCGAGGACAGCAGCTCCGGCGAGAAGGTACTGGACTCGGAAGGTGTCGACATTGGGATCGTTGGTAGGCTTGTAGGCGTTGGTCATGAGGTAGATGATGTAGCCTTGAGAACCAAGAAACATGATCTTAAAGATGAAGTTGTAGATGCTGTCGGTTTTGAAGAGATCTGGAGCAGGTTAGAATGCGCTCCTGGGGTCTGCTAATGGGAGCCGTACCAAGATAGCGAGTAATGTAGACAAGCATGTAGAGTGTCTGCGACTTGAAGGAGATACCTGAGCAGCTCTGAAGTCGGTTAGTATTGCTGATCTATAGTGTCTGACAAGGGAGGACCAACGTTAAGCTGCACCATCTTGTGAAGCAAGATGAAAATGGAGCCGAGATGCGAGAAATCCGCTGTGCTACAAGTCAGCCAATAGCTCAACGAACCTGTCGATTCCGCATTATCGAAAACGTACCAGCGACTCGGAAAACGTTCAAAGGCATGATTGCGGTGGTGCTGTTGTCGCAAAGCTAAGATAAGAAGTTTGAAGAAGATGCAGATAGCTGCTAGAAGCGCAGCGAGTGGGAAGCGAGCGACAACCTGTCAAAGGCGGGTGAGTACGAATACAATTGAGGATCGTTCGGACGAGGGTTGGATGGTGATGGCTCGAGGGATTGACAAGGGAGCTTGGAGAATCATGAATCTTGAAACTGAGCTTCGGCTGAAAAAGGACACGACGCGATTGCAAGCTCATTGGGCCATCCAGCTACGTAATGTCTCGCATGTGTCAGGTTGAGCGCCACGGTTTTCAGCCACCGCTCAGGGGTGTGTGGCTGTTATCATGAAGTTGTAAGTGAGGTTATGGAATGGAACATAGAAAGAAAATTTATATCATTTAATTATAGGACATTCAAAAAAGCCTTTTTCTATCATTTCTATTTCCCTGAAATTACACACCTGTTAGGTTTGCGGTGAAGTCTACCACTAAGGTTCGCCAGCAGCCAGTCATATAATGAAGCTGTACCACATAAGCGCACGAAGTATATGTTCTGCCAATTATCATCATAAGACAGAGATCAGAACTTAATAATTTTTAGAACTTTTAAAGAATTACTTGCAATTATAATTTAAAAATCCATTCCCAGTCTAAGTTTTATCGGTCCAGAACGCAATGGCCTTTCCACCTCTCAGGGCTTAACATTTTGTCGATAACTTACAAGCCATAAAGCTGAGTTTCAGTACATGCATGATACTGCAAAACTCATCATAATTCTGCTGTAGAATGATCTCTTATGGTTACGTTACCTTTAAAAAAACACCGAATAAGTTACCTATCACAGGATGGTGAATACGATTGTAAAGCGAGAACCATGGGCGAGGTGAATAACACATACGAAACAGACTTGAATCTACTCACCCCTGAGACCAATCCTTACGTCAAAGACTTCATCTCAATGAAGCCCAAAAACAGTGACAAACGTTTCAAGTACAGGTATCACGGTGGCCTTGCTTGTTGTTATGTACGGTTGCAGTATATTTACTAAATACTAACCGCAGGTTTTTTATGTTATTTTATGATGTCGCAGAACACGCAAGATGATCGAGGGCGCAGGTGCCGTTCGCCATCCAAGCAAAGGAAATCCACAAAATATGCATAACCAATCGTAATGTAATAATAAAAGATCCGTTATCTTGTACAGACAACTCCTCTATTCCCCAACAGCCAGATGAGATTCGTGCAATCTTACTGATTCATCTGGCCGTAAACTCAACCGCTCACATCGTGCAAACCATGCGCTTCGAGCACGGTTCTCAACTGCGGACAGTAATTCGTCGCCACGCAGTGCTCGAGATGGAGGTGGAGGATATGAGCGCCAGATTACCCCTGATTCTAGAATGAACATTATGTCCAAATTCCAGCTTTCAGGGGTCGAACGTCTTCTTCGGGCAGACCGCGTAGCAAGATGCATCAGATACCCTACGCAGTAAGGGTAGAATTTTCCAGCCCTATCCCTCCAACGAGATATTTTTCAAGCCCAAGACCCGTTAGAGACGGGCAATGGGCAGGTTTTTAGACTGATTCAGTCTTTTCTTCCTTGAGCCACTTCAAGTTACCAAGCAAGAGGAGTATCTGAAGTATCAATCAAAGTTTGAAGGACGACAGATTGTGCTGCACTCTGCTTTGGGTGGCCCCCAGAGGAGCTGTTACATCCTCCTCAAGCGCCAAAGATAACTTTGAAAAGAGGCTCAAGTAAAAGACCACGGGTCAAGATGGTGTTACTTGCGATGCATAGCATACCGTAACAACTCATCGGAACCAGGTCTTATATTACCCAGCATCAATAGCCGTATGAGTTATTCATGACCAATGACGCTGGGGAGTTACTCACAGTTCATAGCCTTGGGTCACTCTCTGAAAGTGACACAGATTTTAGGAACTGTGATACAATAGCTTCACCGGCTGTGACAGCCAGTCTAGGGGGTATAAAAAACATGAGAGTCGCTGACACCAAAATCTGTCGACTGCCACCAAACCGATTCTAGTGTTTTTTGTAACCCTGGGGGCTATTGTGATTTTATCTTTTTTTTTGTAGCTATTGAAACAACACCAGGATCCTCTTGGGAGGGTTGGCTATCGAATAAACCTAGACCCAAAGTTGCTCGAGTCTCCTGGCGGTGTTCCCTGCCAATTTTCAAAGTCGGGGTGGAGTGTCAGTCGTGGCAATTCATCAAGCACGTCAAGCACGTCAAGATGTTCAAGATGTCTGGTATTCAATCATAAATTGGTGACGGCCGAAAGGTCTCCCGCTCTCGCAGCCCGTGCAGCGACGTGCATCCCAGTATGATGGCGTTGATCAGAGTGTCAGTCCCAAAGGTATCCGCAGGAGTCAAAGTGTCAGTCGTGGCAATGCTTCAGGCAGCGCCCGGCGTGTTGCCGTTCAGCCGACCTCTCCCAGCAGGCCTCAGACGCCCGGTGGGAGACGCCCAGACGACGTTCGACTCCTTGCTGGAGAGATGGAAAACCTTCTTCGTGCTCTGCCTGAGGAGTTCCGACCTGCCGCTCATGAGTGCTGGCGACTGTGCCGAAATGCCGTCGACGAGAACTCCGCCGAGAACGCGCCCCCCCTCTGCCGCTTCGACGGCCTCACGTGCTGACTCCTCCGCTTCCGTGCTATGCTCGGGACACCATTGACGCCGCGATTCATAACAATCTGCCAGCGCCGGTCGAAAGTGACACTATCGGCAGGCTGCTCTCACTGAGTCCTCAGTGGTGCAGCGTCCGAATCTTGGGTTACGGAAACAAGGAGTGTACCAGACTTGGCTGCTGGGCCGTGAGGGAATCTGGAGAGTGGGACAAGGACAACATGCGCAACACGCAGCATGAGAACCGTCGTGGCCCCATCGGTATCCACGTATACCGGGGCAAGCCAGACATGCTCGGAGCCTGCAAGCACGGCTACCTGTGCCACAACATGAGATGCTTCAACCCCAACCACCTCATATAGAGGAGAGGGGCGCAAATCTGGCGTGCAACACATGCCACGGCAGCTTCGTGTTCACGGCCCCCAATGGAACTGTGCTGGACCCTTGCCCTCACCACACCTGGTATGAGAAGCGAGCGGATGGGCGATTCGTCACCCACAGCAACCGCAGGAAGTGCATACTCCCTAAGAAGAATACGCCTCCCAATTCTGCGGAACAGTACGTCGAGGTCGCGCCGGATGGCTCTCTGGGAGTTAGGACAGGCAGGAAAAAATGAGAATGAATGGGGTATATGCTAGAGAGAATGAAATCGCGTGTAGACTCGCTTATGATAACATCCGTCCCTTCGCAAAAGCGTTGTGGTAGTACTGCTGATGCAAAGTTCGAAACCTTGTATCAAAGGCCCAAATAGAACGTGAGCCTGCGGCTTAATTTGACTCAACATAAGCAGGGAAAAGATCGCGATTCATCCGTGTGGGCTTGAGCTGTGTGATTGCTGTTTGTGCCAAGAGCAATACTCCTGGCAGACAGTAGAAGATTGGCTTGTCGCTTTCTTTTTCTCTTTTCTTCTTTTTTTCGGTTTTATTTTTGTCTTCTTCTTCCTCATTCTCTCTTTTACTTCCCGTTGAGTGCTTAATCATGAATCTCTCATGATGCTGTATGGCGTCAAGAGAGATTCAGATTCGATCCCTGGGTGAGAGTACTGATAAGAGGAAGGATGATAGATTGACAGTGTCCGTGTATTCGTATGTTCTGCTACTTGCTGGCACAGTACGACAGCCAACTAGGACACTGTCGACGTCGATATCAAACAGCTGAGGCGATAAGGCTTCTCAGCAAAAAACGTGGTTCAGCCTCACCCTCTCGAAAGGTGCACGGCATATGTATATGTATCAAGATGATATACACCCAATTCTGATGGCTAGGGTAACGAATGAAACGTAGGCGCACTATGCGTGTAGTAGCCAGCATATGTGATAAAGAAATGTATATGTGAATGAAGGTATAAGAATAATGAATGAGGGAAAGAAAGTCGATAACAAACACGACATCAAAACATGCATAAGGAGAAGAAAGGAATCATGCTCCAAGTGGGAGGATCTCGTCCTTATATACATGAAGAATAGTCTCCTCAACTCAAACCCAGGGCAGAGACCCTCAGTTTACGTGTCCGAACACGTATGATTGTGAACTTTTTGTATCGTGAGTTTCGAGGTAGTCACGCAATCTGAGTGTCAGTGACTTACACCGAGAAAGCATAACCAATGAGGAAATAAAGAGTATGTGAAGGTTTATTGCAGTCTCAGACTTCTACACCGAAGTCGTTGGCGTGAAGTTTGATGGCAATCTACTACGTATGAATACCATCCAGGTTCATAGTAAAAGCCATAGTTTCTGTACTAATTGCTTCTCAGGAAAATAAACTTCTCTTCATTATAGCAATGAGGTGCATATGGAGCCAGCTCGGAATGTCGGCATGTCGACTCATAGAAGCTTTGAAGACTTTTCTGTTACTTTGAGGAGTGAGTTTATAGAAGACAAGTTGTATCTAGACAGAAAGAACGAATCTGTAATCAAGTGCTATAATTAAGTTCAAGCTGAGAAGTATGATTTCTGTCTTACCCTCTTCTCATTCCACTTGCTTTGATGTATATAATTCTGACATTGATGAGCCCGCTTATACAAGATTGAGAGCGAGCCGGAGCACGAAAGCTTGTCTTTGAACCAGTAGATGATGCTCACACCTACCGAAAATGTAACTTTATCTATTCACCCCGCCCATATATAAGGCCTTGAAAGCAACGACTTGCGTTTCAGAAAGACTTGTTATGGCATTATTTTCCTAGAGCAATCTACACACAGGCATTAGTGGTAAGCCGAGTTCTTATAATGATCATGAGATGTGAACATACCGCATCATGGCTCCTCCAAAATCGAACACGAGGCGCAACCAGAGCTTCAACATATGATGCTGCCACTCAGCCAGAAGACCTACCGCACATGAACCGAGGTGATGACCACTTGAGAACCCAACAGAAACAAAAAGACCAAGTCATAAACACATTGACGCATTGATGGCGCGCTAAAGTGATAGAGGCGTCAGACGTCTGTACCACGAGTAGGACATGGCTGGAGGCCGCGTCAAGAGACCGAAGCCATGATGATCAGTCCATCATGGAAAGCCAAAAGGTCATGAGTTTTACTGATGACTTGATCCATGATCCTCCTAAGGACACTGGCTTGAGTAAATTCAAGTTGGTGACGGCAAGATACCTTATCACTGATAAAAGCTTAGTAGGTTGGTTGCTACGGACAATTCCCGAGAATGCAAGCGCTTATAATCATTGCAAGCCATGTGATGGAGAGAATGCGAAGTGTCAAGTCTCAGTGATGGATTCAGGGGTTCAACTCTGAGGCTTTGGCATACTGACCAAAGCGACGCAAATTCCCTCCCACTATTGACGTTGAAAGAACTCAGTGTGGCGAGCAAGTCAATAGATGTGACTGTAGTTAATTAACTGGGGTTGTGGTGTGCTTTATGATGCCTGAAACGATGTTTTCCTTACATCATGAAAGGATTCCTGAGCTGCTGCAATTATATACAGGAGACACTTGCTACAAACATGAAGCATTCTAGGTCACATGATATGATATGATACCTCAAGCTAGTATTGGGAAAGAAGACTGATTGCAGTTGAGGTGCTCAGTGACATGTCTGCAGGATGCCCTGGTGGTCGACACAGGAACAAAGAAACAACAGATCAAACAACACGAATACAAACACACTGATGATTGATGAACAACTCATTATCTTTCGGTACTCTATAACACCTTATCAGGCTTTTGGTAAACGACCGCTGTTCACATAGTTCTCTTTCATGGCCGCCCAGGTCCTATATGCTAGAACAAAGACTGATACAATCTTCCTTCACGCAGTTTTGCCGAGTTCCATTTGTTCGGCACGTCTTTGAACTCGATTGTAAGAACATTCAAAGACCCTTGGAACTTCATTGTATGATCAGCAATCAAGCATCATGTTCATACGCAAACTTCATATGCGCTTATAATGTGACATGTTGTAAATAAGTCAATGCGATCCCAAGCATCAAAAGACCAAGTATTCTCACTCACTGTAATCTCAGCAACCTAGTACCCCAGAAGCCGTCCACCATAAACTTCGACATTATGCCTTCCAGTCCGCGCGACTTTCATCCAGACGTGGAGACCATAAATTCCATCATGGATAAGCAACCGATCAGAATGTTCACCCGCAACTGTATCCCCCCCAAGGATCCCCCTCCCGGAACCCTCGAGCCCTGTGTATGGCGATGTCCCGAATGCAAGCAGGAATACAGGATCTCCGTCACAAGCCGCTGTATTAAATGCCCTTCATACAACAGCAAACCCCCATACAAGTACATCTCAAGCGATGATCCAAATGGCGAGTCTACTACAGAGACTAGACAACCTCGCAGAAGCCGTAAATTCTCAAAACGTCCATCTCCATTAGTTTATGAATACGACTATGAGTTCTGGGCCCAATACAACGACTGGAAACGCTTTCGCTCAGAGTATGAAGCCAACCCTAAGAAGTGGGAGCGCCGCATCAAGCGCAATTTCGACGGCAGGGGTAGTGCACAGCGCCGAGCGAAGAGATACAAGGTCGAGGTCATAACACGCACTTTGTTCACCGAGGACAGGCTGAAACGTATGCTTAAAAGGAAGCATAACTGTGAACTGGACTGTGACTATCCCAGTCAGTGCCAGACAGAGCGCTATGAAGCATCTAGGAAGATACCCCCCCAAGACCACCATCGGCGCGTTGCACCCCCCATGGTATGGTGAGGGTGAGGAAAATGCAGGTAAGTTGCCCCTTTGTGAGCTTTTACCACAGTTCGATCAGGAGATAACAAGTCCTGAAGACATCGATGATGAAGATGAGATATTCGCGGCGTATAAGAGGGATGTTGATGCTTGGTTTGCTTCAACTCAGGCGAATCTAGCTAAATAACAAAACATTGAGGGGTGAGACAGAGGAGAAGTGATTACAACGGGGGCGGGTTTGGGAAAGATATTCAGGAAATATGAGGTAATGGAAAGGGTAGCAAAGAAGATGCAATGCGGAACTTGTTTGAGCGGATCATACTAGATAAACATCATTTGAGCGAACATGATAGCTTCATTAATCCACATTCCTAACACAAACAACAGATCATAACAAATCACACTCGTTTTAACATTGAACTTTCGATGACTAACCAGGAACTCGTATTTCCGTGTCTACCTAATCCAGTCCATCAGCACAGCGGTTCCGTGTCGCATCTCATACCAGACCAGACACCAAGGTGAAAACACAACTGTTGTACACAGCTCGCGCAAGTCAAATAGCACAGGGCATTTCGTCATAACGTGAACCCTCTCGTCGTCGGGTACCGGCTTCTGGAGCCGACCCGAGAGCTCGTCGTGTGCCTATTGAAAGCGCAGGCGCCCTCAGCTATCCAAGCTGTGGTCGTGCGGACGTCCGCTCATTTCTCGACGCGACGCCCCCATCGAATTCGAATTCAAGCATTTCTGCATTACCATCCCATATACCGGTTTACCGCAAGTCCTGAAGAATAAAAGCAAAATAAAGCCCTAAACGATATGTCTCTAGCCTTCAAGTGCCTTGGCTTTCTTCTTCTGCTCAACTTTGAGCAGCAGGGCGCGGTTGATGTGTGGCAGGACACCACCGTAGGCGATCGTCGCACGGATCAGAGTGTCGAGCTCTTCGTCACCACGAATTGCAAGCTGGAGGTGGCGGGGCGTGATACGCTTCACCTTGAGATCCTTTGCAGCGTTCTGTGATGAAATGTCAGCGTCAATATCAGGCAGCAACAATGACTCATGAACTTACGCCTGCCAACTCGAGGACTTCGGCAGTCAGGTACTCCAGAACAGCTGTAACGTACACGGCAGCCTTGGCTCCCACACGCATCTTCTGCTGGGTATTCTGCTTGAGGAAACGCTTGACACGACCGCAGGGGAACTGAGAAATACTACGTTAGTACGAGTTTAGATGAAACCAGCAATCCTTGATAGAAAATGTTTCCCGAGCCGTCTTTGTTTGCGCATTCCGTCATGTCCCGTTTCAACCCAGCATGCATACAAACAACGTCGACAGCCGCCCCAGAATACCGGTGACCGGTTGCCGAACCGTCGCATCAGCTCAAACGCGCGGCGAGGGCCAAATGGAGGATGCGCTGTCAATTGGAAAAGATTTTCTCATCGTGCGGAGATGCTCGACGCGTCGGGAACGGATCGTGAAACTTGAAGTATGTGGGATGCGGGACATGGAATGTGCGCAAATCGGTCGACAAAGCAAGCTTATCCTCCTCTTCTACCTCTCAAGTTGAGACTCACCTGAAGACCAGCACGAGCAGAGTGGCTCTGCTGCTTCTTGGTGCCCTCAGCAGCGCTCGTCTTGCCGCCGGAGCTCTTTCCACCAGAAGACTTTCCCTTTCCACCAGGCATTGTCGATATGATCGCGTAAAAAAAAAGTCGTAAGATAAAAGTATCAAAAATTTGGGGATGAATCAATACGGGTTCGAACGCGGTAGCCGATCGGTCGAAATGTCGATTGATGTTGTTGATGTGAAAAACGCGGGATCGAGAGTTCGTAGTGGCAGAAATTTAGCGGGCTGCGGTGCGGTGCTGATGTTGTTTCTTCAGGCAGGCTCTGGCGAAGGGCGAGCTTGCGTGAGGTGCGGTGCGGGATTGGATGGTACAGAGGTACATGCCTCAGGTAGCTTCTGTTGCTGGAAGCTTAATTGCTCATTGACTTGCCGATGCAGAAGCGCTTGTCATTGGCTGCGTGACCCGAGGTAAACCCGGCCATCAAGCTGGGCCAGCAAAGGCTGTGTGAGAAGAGGTCCTTGGTTAGGGATCACCAAAACATGGTTTTTGGTGCTGTAAAGTCCTCAAGAAGGGTAAATATGGATTAAGAAAAGGTGGTATGGTCAAGAAAGACTTCTTTCAAACTCCTAGAGGTGTTGGCGGAGGAGCTGCGTTGATACTCACTTGGCACATCTCATCTTTGTTTGCTGTCATGCTTGGAACGGGTTGCCGCATATTCACAGCTGTGTCACCCGGAGATTGTTGAATGCCATAAATATGATACAGCATGTACTGGCATGGCTACTGGTACAGAGGCGGTATCTTGTCGGTTTCTGGCAAGTCAGGGCATCTTGTTAGACACTTGATGAGATGTCGTTGTGTATTGAACAGTTGAAACCCAGGCTCGGTTTGGAGTTGATCATGTCCCGCTGTGGCTGAAGTGTGGCTGTTCTGGCTCCAGTTAGCCGAGCATTTACCTGGCTTACAACTACGGCAACTTCTCTAGATAATATAAGAAAATGAGATATCATCCTTACGCAGAAATACCTTAACAAGTTGAGGTTATTTTTGAATAAACTTAGAAGTCGATAATTATCTTACTCAGATAAGTTTACCCCAATGATGATATGGAATCCCTTAATCCCAGCAAGCATCTGACCAGCCCTTTCACACCTGTCAAAGACCTCAGGTCTTTTTGCAACTTCGGCTTCTGCCAAACACTTACATTAAGTAGTATGTGCGTAATCAACCGTGACCGAAACAATTCTCCGATACTCGCGTCTCAGACACTGTATTCTCTTGCTGGTCTCAAATCGCAACAAGCATCTTCGATCCCCATTCACTCATTCTTCAATCATTTGAGGCAGCCTGGAGCCCTCAAATGTTCAACATGGGCAGCACTGTAAAGATTCATCACCTACCACCAGAGACTCTCAGCCATGTTATCTCGCTTCTACCTCAATCGGATATCAAGAGTCTCCGTCGCGTCGACCACAGATTTTCGTAATTGGCCACCCAACGGTTATTTCGCCGCACCCGATTGCTCGCTCGAGCCAAAGGCGACAATGACCCTCGACGTTTTATACAACTCGCCAATCCTGAGTTGAGCGGATTTGTCCGCGAAGTCAGCTGTGATGTTTCCAGCATCAAAGCTGCCATGAGCAGAATCAAGTTTGCCTTGTATTCAGCAACAGGCTTCTATTTTGAATGTGAAGCTTCTCGTGGTTGGACCGGTGTCAGCTGGATCCGAACATGCAGCGTCGCTTGACGAGCAAATGATATATTACATATTGAACTCAAGCGCCGGCGAGTATTTTGCAATTCCAGTAAAAGACCCTTTTGATATACTACAGAATTACTCCCAAACTTTCCATCTTGTGATGTGTGCCCATTCAACCCATGTACCAAGAAATGCCAGCCCCATCCCCCCAATCATTCATAGCCCGTTGCGATCATTGGTTCTAACTGGTGGGACCTCATCTACTGAGTCGACAGTTAAGTTTTCGTTGTCGTCTCGAGCGGCGTACCTCCAGTAGTAACCCTCACCAGCGCGCCATTTATTCTTCTTCCGGATAATTAGGGTCCTCAGGGGGTAGCTCATGTATGACTCTCAACGAGCGAACGGTAAGACACCCATAATTGGTGAGGTTTATTTCCTCATAGCTCGTCAAATTGTCCCTCTGTCGTTCAAGGGCTTTGCCCAATTGTTTCCCAGTGATCGCGAATTCAACCATAGCTTTCAAGAGACACCTGTACTGCCTTAGCACTATTTTCTAAGAATTACCTAATAAGTCTTGAGGATCACTTGAGCAGAGTCCTTACCTCCGACGAAGACTCCATGTTGAATGTCGTCTGATTCAGAGAGTGGTATGGAGAGCGCTATATTCAAATATATTTACCTTATTAAGGCGAAATGCAGATGGTGAAGGAAATCAAATGTTGAATGTTGGTTGATGAAGAAGAAGGAAAGATGGAGGAGGAAGAAGAGGGAGACCAAAGGAGGAAAGATGAAAAAGGAGGGTAAAAAGACAAGTTTGAAAGAAGAAGTATAGGCATTTTCTCCACTTCATCATCCTAAGTTTAGGATTCTTTGCATATCTGTGATTCACTGGACATAGGGGAATTGGCGATTAAGTAAATGGTGCCAGAATATCCATAAATGTTTCTTATGTCGTCTAAGGTTGCCTAAGGTTATCTGAGGTCATCTAATACTTCAAAGTACCAGGTAATCAGCAAGTCCGTAAATTATTAGCTTAGTCTTATGTTAATTTCACTCCAAGGAAGGCAAAGTTACGTGGGAGATGTTTTGGTTATTGTATCTTGAAGTCAAGATACTGGTTATCTGAGTCCATCACCATCACCCCTGACAGCATCCCCTCAAGTCCCAAGCGCCCATTGCAATTTTCCGCCTCACATCTCAAGAGTGTGCATAGAACCAAAGACACTTCAATTCTTCTTGTACGAGTCGACATAGGTGCTTGGTTCCTGGGGCAGGTTGTCACCCCAGTGTCCAGTCTTCTCATGATCCGATTCGGAATGAACAAACTCCAAAATGGTTGGCTTGTCGATCCAGGCATAAGTTTTGCCTCCGAGGAGACGCTTGGGAGCACTTCCACGAGGAGGCTGAAATCGGCCATGGGCGTTCAAGCGCTTGACAACATTGTTGAATCCAACGATTGGCTCGTAGCTCGTGTGCGTCGCAACCCACTTGGCCTGGTTAAAGTAAAATAAATATCTCGATGTTCATTCTAAAGCTCATTACAAGAACTTAAACATTAACAATATCATTGGGGATGAGAGTGAGGATGAGGACGGCGACGTACAGATCGTGGGTACTGGAGGGACCTAGATCATGCAATGCGTTGTACTACATATGTGGTATATACGAACATTTCAACATCATATGTTGACTCGCTCTTATCTTATCTGACGTTTGGCAGTCACAGCAAGTGATCAATCTGCACAACGCCAAGAAGCTTAATAAAGAAAGCCAACCAGGCACAATCAAATAAGCTAAGATGTTGAAGTTGAAGTCAAAGTGATTAATGGTCAACACGCAGCCCTCAGAGAGCAAGAAAACTTCTGACCCTAAGCTTAGTTGCCAAAAATAATTAGTCTAAAGGTCTATTAAGTCTCTACCAGGTTTACCTAACTTTACCTAAGTCTTTTTGTCATTTAGGATAGAGGTCCTAAGTTTTCTTGCCTCCCCTTGGCAGCGTCGCTTGACGAGGTCCGGGAATAGCTCCGCAGCACAGCGAAAAGAGGCGAGTTGAGCTGAGTGGTCAGTGGTAAGTAGCCGAGTCGAGCTGCATGCTGCTGCTGCAGCCGTAGCTGCGGGCAAGAGGCGAGGGCGGAGGCCTGCATATTGGATGCCGATAGAATGGCACTTTGGGGATGATTTCCACGGTACTGTAGATCTAGCGTCAGATCCAGTGTTGTGTTGGTGCCTGACCTTGACTCGTCATTCACCAAGTCTTTAGACTTTCTCTGGCTATTCATGATGAGGCAGTGGCAAGTGCCATTGTGGCGATATCATGGAAGAAAGCCGTGAGGCTCATGGGAAATGGGAAATGGGGCGTTGCAGCGGCTGACGCCGATCCCCCACTAGGCTTGAATGATGAAACATTCACTCTGGTTGGTGGCTGTAAACATGGAATCAAGACATCAATCAATTCTGAACCTGCGGGAGGTTTCTGGACTTGAGACATCATAACATCGTAACTGGGCCAACTTGCAATCTGTGGGTGTAGGCAGAGACGTCTCATGACCGTATTTACTCTTGTGCATCAAGTTTCAATGAGACACGCGCTCTTACAAAGTGGTGGGCAACAAAAGGTTGGACAACCAAAATCATGACTTCAAAACAGGGTAGACAAGAATCAAGCTTCATCTACAAGAATATTGCACATCTTATGCCACATGGATATCATTATGCTTACTCCGTAGATCGATTCACAAAGGATGCCGCCGCATGTTTACGCGGACGGGCAACAGAGAACAGACCCGGGGAGAAGATCCGTCTGCCGGAGCTTCTAGAGCATTTTCACGAGTGTTCGTTCATCTTAAAAAAAAGAGTTCAGGGGTGTCGAGAGGGTCGGCCGCGTGATCTATGAGCCGCCATCTCCGGGGGAATGGACAACCGAGCGACGGCGAGATGAGGCTAAGCTGGGATGCCTTGGGAAGAAAGACCCTCTGTTTTTGTAGGGGACAGCGGCGAGGCGAAATAGGATGCGCTAGTAGGCTTCTCGAATATGACAGGCGAACAGAGAGAAAGGAGATGAGGGGCCAAGCAATGAATACTGTCGTAGTGACATGCTTTGTTGACCACTCAATGCTTGAAGATGAGGTAGGTCTGCGACATACACGAGCTTCATTTGAGTGTGATCCACCTGAGTTCGATATAAACAACAGAATAGACCAATACAAAAGGCAAACTCGACTGAAAAAGTCTGAGAGCAGCTCCTCTTGCTCGTCGTCAGAGACTCAGCCCCTCCAGCTAATCAACGCTCAATTTCCAGGAACCCGGGTCCCCTCGCTCGCCTCTCCTGTACCGTACCAGGGCTTGCGGACATGGCATGGGACATGGGACACGAACGGCGACCCAAGGACTGGGGAGTCCCCTGAGATCAGGTTGGGCCCCTGACATCGGCCCAGGTGGGCGGGTTAGGATGACCCTGGCTTCGTCATGGGCATTGGGAACGAACGAAGAGGGGCAGAGCTTAGAAAAAAAGAAGCACTGTAGAAGTAAAAGGGGGTTCAAGAAATATTATCACCTCTCGCATCATGAATGGTTTGTGTCTTGCGGGCAATGACGTGTATAAAATGGAATTGTGAGGATTAGCGTCCCCCAGGTGATGCATATTTTCTTTTTTCCCTTTCCTCTTTTTGTTTTTCTCAAAGTTTATTCATTAGAAAGTCTTACACGTCCTTTTGTACCCCACCACTTGATTGGCTTCCCGTCCGACGGGCCGCTCGCATGTACCGCCATAGACGAGAAGAGACCTAATGTGAAAGTAAAAAAAAGCAGCTTGGCTGCAGCAGAGATAAGTCAGGTGCTGTTATGCATACGCTCGGATACAAGGTAAAAAGTTATGGACATTTGATGGCCAAAGTGTCTGTCAACAAACAAGCGGTAGACGATAGCGTGTACTACTAAAAAGCAGGGCAGGGTCAAAAAAAGAGCCGCAGCAGCATCATTGCACGTGGCTTTGACGATGAAGAAAAACTTAGAATAGAGTATTCGAATTTCCGCATTAGCATGCCATTCTAATTGAGGCATCTCAAATCTCCTTGGCAACCCCTGGAAACACGGTGCAAGTAGAGAGAGAGAGAGAGAGAGACATGCCATGTCACCTCGTCTTTGTCTTCTGTCTTGTCTATTCGTCTCTGTGTGATGGAGATGACCTGACTGTGTGAGGTAGGTGATTACGCTGCATGTACTAGGTAGCTAACGTTAGCATCATCCGGGGAGCTTCACTGAGCAAGCCGGGTGTGTCATAAAGGAGAGCTAAAGATACGATGCGAGATGGAGGATGGAGCAGAATCATTACAAGATGAGACGCCAGTTAGATACGATACCGGCCAAGATTTTCCGCCGGTAATGACTATCAATCTGCGGGAGTGTTACAGTTGGATGCCTCACTGATAATCTCATCTCGACTCTTTTCTCACACCATTTCATCCCCTATTTCCCTTGGGTAATGAAAGTATTGGAACAGTGCTACCCAACAAGCTGAAAGGATCAGAGGTTGTGCTCCATGGCTACCTTACCCATACATTATATCCTATGCTGAACTGCGACCCCAACTGAGTCAATTGCTGGTTCATGCATCACATCGAGTCAGGTTTTGACTGAGAGTCATTTGCTACCCAACTTGTAAAAATGCGACACACAGGCTTGAGCTGTAACCTATACGTGCAGTAGTATACCTCTAAAAAATTAGCTGGTGTTACCTGGCGATGCACGTAATACCAGATCTGAATGCATAGCGGTATGCACAACATAAATTCGCTCCAACATTTCCTAGACACGAGGTAAACATCCATCGTTTCTCGTCAATGTCCACAAACACAAGCAAACTCCTATCACAATTGGGCGTGTCCAATAACATGCGGTCCACTGAGCCTGAGCTAAGATACCGGTGTCGGGATGACGTTGCTCGCACTGTTGGAACATCTGCCACAGTTGGATTCAGAGGATAGAGCATCTGATTTGCTTCTCTACAACCATCACGAGGTGTCATTCTGCAGCCTTTCCACAGAAGTATCAGCATCAAACATCCAATACCGTCAGCCTCTTGTACCTTCAGCCTTTCAAGAGGCTGACTATTTCTCAATCAATGCCAACCCAGTTAAAGAAGCCGGCCAGCCTCCCTCGTCCCAGGCTCATCACTCAATTTTTTTTTTCACAAAGCCCCCACCATGAGCTAAGAATTTAGAAGTGCATTTCGATCTAACTAAGAGTAAGGTAGTAGGGGAAAAAGGAAGGCTAATATTAGACACGGTACTGTAAGAGTAGCAAGGCTTCATTAACGGTTAAGTTAACCGGTATTGCTAGCGAATTAGATACTAAATAAGTTCGAGTCAATGAATGGATTGGATGGATCTTGAACAATGGAATGGTAAATCTCAAGGGCCACGCATGGTCCCAGAACCCCTTGATGAGCATCTCAGGGGATGGGATGCTGGATCCACAGTGGACTTCTGACAGCTGGAGAATAATTGAACTGCGCTGAAAACCCCACCAATTTGCGCCGGGCTTGGGGTGTTCTCTCAGGTGGCTCATTACAGTGTACGCACTGTCCTAACGACGCCCCATCCCACCTCATTCATATTGGAGGTCATGGATCCATGGATCCCAGGAGGGAAAAAATAAGGGCCCTCCTTGCTGTTGTGACTGCTAAAGAGTCAGGACAGAACCTGTGAGGAAACCTAAAGGAAGTGAAACTTGACGGGAAACCATTCGCCGTCCGCTGTCACCTCCCCAACCACATCCACACCTAATTAATCCTTTCTCATCATCCTCTCTCTTCTTTGGTTACAACACCCCCGTCTCCCGTCTCCCGTCCGCCGTTTTCCCGTTCCAGATCATCCATCACTGAGAACGTCCCTCCCGGACATTTTGCCAACTGGGACTTGTTCCATCTTTTTCTTCTCCTTCCCTCCCGTCCCCTTTTCTACCTCTAACCTCCTCTTGAACCTCATCATTTATCCTCCTCCTTCTTCCCCTCTCCTCCCCCGATTTTTAGTCGACCTTCTCTCTCCTCTTCTCTTCCTTCTTCCCCTCTCGTCTCCCTCCCTTGATTACTTAGCTACTCCTCCGTCGTTCGCAATTTGGTTCGTCCAGACCAACAGCCCTTACGTCGACGAAATCTCTATTCGACCTTTTTTTGTACTAACGAGAAGACGAGGCTATCGCGCGAATCTAATTCCCCTTTTCGCGCGACTATTTCTTGCTCATTAGTAGTCTTTTTATTAGCTACTTTTGAGACGTCGCTGGTTTCCAGGGTTATCCGCCTATCACCTTGATTCCCAGAAATATCGAACTGCGACCATTAAGTAACGCTCTGACGTTACTCCGCCAGTTTCTGCCAAATCTTCGAATATAGGGATTTGGTTCATTCGGCCTCCTTCGTTGTGCTGGCTGTATTTGTGCGCCTTTATCGCCACCCAGAATCTCGCAGCGTCTTCGTTTTTAACTTCGCGCATTTGTTGCCCGAGGCCTCAATATTGTTTTAGGCATCTCGCTACACCTGACGGAACAAACTTTTGTGGTCATTGACCCTGAGACGGAACCCCCAAACCTTGTTTCACCCGACTCTTCTTGAGCACTTTATAGACATTTCTTCTGCGCTTGGTACCCTCAACTTTACTTAGCTACACCGCTTTCACGACCGAGACCCACGAGCCAACGATTTGATGCCGCATTCTTAACTGCTTGTTACGCATCCCCGATACCCCCTCGCGTCCGCATTCCTGACACACTGCACATTCTGTACGTGTCAGCTTGATATAAAACCTCAAGAAAAGCAGGTGAAGTCGACTGCTGGGTAAAAACAGCAGCTATTTGCCAAGCTGGATCCAGTCATCACAATGTCGCAGCAACCGCACGATATGGGTTACCTTGACTATGGTACATCAACTAATCGCTCCCCGAACTCGAGACAAAACTATGCTACAGCCGGTGGTTTCGCTGGTCTCTCGCTACCTCGCCAGTCCCAACGCCCTTTTGATGCTCCTCTAGGCTCTTCTGCCCTCTACCCTGCCGACAGAATCGGAAATGGTTATAACCATCGTGGTATGGAAAACATGGCTGGTATGCAGGGTTACATGTTGGATAATGGTCAAGCTTGGAACTACAACACAACTGGAGTTGCTACAGTTAACGGTGCCGTGAATGGCCCTGGACGGCAACGAAACGTGAACCGACGAGCCGCTCTTCCCCAGGTACGTAAATACGCAAATTTTGATAGGACTTGACTGACCAGAATAGAACTGGACCGATCACAGCGCTCTTGGTATTCATGGCAACCACGGAGGTCTTCAGCCCTACCAAGGAGGCATGAACAACAACGCCATGTCAAATGGTGGCCTCCGGGTTGAGCACCCCGGATCTCACGGTTCCCCCACTGATCTTCGATCAAACACCTCAGACGCCGACCAGCTTATCCCGACAGCTATTGTGATTAAGAACATCCCGTTTGCCGTTCGAAAAGAGACTCTGGCTTCTATCATGCTCGAAATGCACCTTCCCCAGCCATATGCCTTCAACTATCACTTCGACAACGGTGTCTTCCGAGGTTTGGCTTTTGCGAATTTTCAGTCTGCAGAGGATACACGTATGGTGATCGAGGCGATGAACGGCATGGATGTCCATGGCCGTAAATTGCGCGTCGAGTACAAGAAAATGCTCCCCGAGGCCGAGAGGGAGAGGATTGAACGCGAGAAGCGAGAGCGACGAGGCCAACTTGAGGAGCAGCACCGTGCCCCTATGCTGCATCAGCAAAGCTCTATCCAGTCACTTGGCAGTCTTTCGCAGTCTCAAGCTAGGGGACCGTCGCACCTCGGCATGCTCGAGGCATCTCGTGTTCAGTCTCCCGCACTAAACATGCCAGGTGATGTTGATTTGAACGATCCTCAGACTCTCGAGTTCTACACTGAATTGGTTATGTTCCGTCGTGATGATGCCCGAGAGGTTCTTGTTTTCCCTGCTGGTATCGCTCCCGAGCATCGACGATCCATCCATATTCTCGCACACAACATGGGCCTTGAGCATCAGTCTATGGGCGATGGCGAATCGCGCCAGCTTACGGTGCTGAAGCGACAACAGCCGTCGCCCACCGCCCACATCCACAATCAGCCAGCCCTCAGCCTCGACATGCATAAGCGTGGCCTCAGCCGTGCGGCTACATTTGACTTTGCTGCTGATCGTGAGACACGAGCTGCCAGCAGCAATTACTCCCAGGTGATGGGTCGACATGGTCCTACCATCGAGCTTCCTGGAAGCCCTGAAGGAAACAGCATCCCCAACAACCTTCGAGCCGCCAAGAGCTTTGCTGATCTGAGATCATTCACCCCCAGCCCTTCTCAGGCTTCATCCAGCTACCTCGCCCCTTCCGGTATGAACAACATGGGCGGTGGCTCAACTGCTCGCTTCGGTGACTACATGGGAGGTGCCATGTCACCTTCCGGCCACCCCAGCAACTCTGGTACTCCTGGACCCAAGAATGATTCTGCTCTTCTCAGCAGCCTCAACAGCCTGAACTTGGGCTATGACTCTGGCTCCATGCAGAACCAGGCGCGAAGCACTCCTGGCGCTATTGGCAGCCAGCGCCCTGGTAACAGCTCTAAGGGAGCCCCTGAGCGACAGCCTCGCGGACCTGAATGGGAGACCAATGCCGGATTTGCTGGGCGACGTGCTAACGGCCACGCCACGCGCGGTAGTGGTGGTACGTCAACCGACACATGGAACGACTGAACGTTGGCTAACTCAATATAGACTCGTCTGACAATGGGGCACGCGTCGGCTCAAGCTCAACAAACGCTTCGCGATATCACTGAGCGTGATTCTTTGGCCACCCCTTGACGGGTTAGGCTTTCGACGACCTGTGTGTCAGGCGCCGACTATAACTGCGCGTATCATTACGGATTAACGACAATGACCACGACGCATCGATATTTTGCATCGCATTTGCTTTTATGACTTGTAATACCGACATACCTGGGGAAGTGATGGCAGGAATTTCACTTGTCTTGTTGAACCCCATTGCATATAGTTTACGTGGGAACGGTTTTATGACTTTTGAAGATTGTGGGGGACGACAGTGGCCCAAGGGTGTGTGTGTGTGGCCGACTTGATGACAGCTATCGATGAGAGAGAACATGGGATAGGATATCTGGACACACGAATGTTTTCGACACAACTGGGCAACCAAAGATGGAAAGGTCACAAACTACAGAACCACTTGGCAGCACGCACGCATAACCTGGAATACCCTCAGCACGTACCCCGACAAGACCTACGACCACTATCACCACCACCACTTGACGATTATGACGCTTTTACGACGTTACGTCTAGACAGCTATACCGGCTTCTCCTCATCAGGCTGTTCAGCGTCAGCAATGGGAGGGGTTGCCTC